AGTCCATTTAAAATGCAGTTGCTTAATTTTTGGCTCTCATTCTGACCACTTCACTCCTCTCTTTGAGCAATCAGTTCCTCAACAGCCATATGCAATGAAGTGGACCCCCAGTCTTGAAGCATAGTGTGCAGTTTTTGATGCAGGAACACATGAGAAAACGACAACCATACTCCCATGTGAGGCACCAATAAGAGCATCATATGAGACACACCACTGAATTATGTGTTTGGAGAGCCCAGGGCTAGCTGCAGCTAGAAATAAAGGGATAAGCTCATACTACCTTGCATGGCTTCCTACTGATGGATCTTAAAAGACTGGCTAAGGAGAAGAGAACATCTATGGGAGGAAGGATGGGAATCACCTTCTTTAGAGAATTTCAACTGGATTACCTATAGCAGGAGCACAGGGAGTCCATGTGGTAGGCTGAGGTCTACTCTAATGCAATCCTGTGCAGTGAAAGCAAGACTCCATATGCCAGATTGGATCATCATCCATATTATGTCAGGCTAGAGCTGGCTGGAAACTAGAATTCCTATTCTACAGGAAATTCTGAAGTCTTGAATTTTTTTCTTCTTCAGGATCAGAACAACAAAATTTCTTGGAGAACTAAATTAGTTTTGTTTTAGAAAAGTCAAAGTGACATTTTGATTTGGCCTTATCAAAATATTTTGTTTCAGTAAAATCAAAATAGTTTAGTTTTTACTATCCATGTGACTTGTGTTTTTATATATCAGTTTACAATAAAGTTGAAATATTTCAGCTAATATATTATGACATGACAAAGCATTCTGACTTATTTTAAGTTATTTCATATTTTGTTACATAAAATTGATGATTGGTATTCTGATAATTGGTCATTACTATTAAAATTGGTAATTGGTATGCTAATTGTTTTAGCAACCGGTAGTTTCCTATTGAAATTGGTATAATAAAACAAAAATATAGCTGGGGAGCCCACCATTCCCCAGCCCGGGTTCTGTCAAATCGGCATTTTCCAATGGAAAATGTTTGGTTGGAAAGTTTTCAACCAGCTCCACATCAGGTATTACGTGAAAGGAGGAACACTTGGGTTGCAGATGTCTCAGTTAACTGGACAGCAGCTGTGCGCAGTGGATAGTCCAAGTCTTTGAAATAGGTTCTTCTATCCCAGCTAGCAGATGAGGAAGCTGATTCCTGTCACAGCTGGAGACAAACTGCTATATTTGTGAGCCATCAAATTAATTACATATTGGGTAACTTCACTAAGAAGTTCATTATTTTATTTCCATCTGAAGACAAAGGAACTTTACTCAAGTGCCTAGGCAGATACAGATGGAACAGAGAGCTTTTAAAAAGCACAGGAAAGAAGAGGAAGGAAAATATTCTAGGCAGGATATTAGAGTACACAGTAAGGATTTAATCTGACAATAAAAGTTTGGCACACTAAACAGTTCTATTAACTTGATACAGTCATCAATTTAATAAACTATTTTCTATCACGTTCCTGTAACATGAGAATATTATGAATAGTTTGTTATAAAGGCTTGATCAGCTTCTGTTTGGAATGACTAGACTATTCAGGAGTGGCAAAGTCAAAGTCATCCTAAGTGAGTGCTAAATAAAATTTATACTACCTCTTTTATATTATTAAATATTTATGATGTGGTAGTGCCTAAATGCCTTAATAAGGCAGGGGCCCCATTCTGATGGGTGTTGTACAAACACAGAAGGAAGACAATGTCGGCCCAATAATGCATACAACCAATACATTTAGAAAGTTCTAGTGTCAATCCTGGGAAAGGTAGATTAGTGGGCAAAGTACAGGAGAATCATTCAGTGGTGCAAGGTAAGTGCAGTCTATTATCAGGATGAAGATTACTACATGGACACCACCACCAAACATGATATGATGCTATATAAAAGACAAATGAGATATAACTAGATAAAAAAAATACAGTCTGAATTATAAATTGGAACAGTAATCCATAATAAATCCTCCAAGTAGTGAGCCTTATATCTAGTGATAGTCCATCGGGATCATTATTAGAACAAGGCATGCTACAGAAATCAAAATTTACAAGCAACAACAACAAAATGTCAGATGGATAGCCAACAGAAGACAACTAATGCAAAATGACCAGGAAAGTTTAGAACAGACAGCCATGTTCAAGGAGAGGCGATTCAGTACACAGAAACAAACCGGGAAGGTTGCACAACTACAATTGACACATGGCTAGTAGACTAAATATGAAGTTTGGATGATATTAGTGTGAAAAAATATTTCTCTAATATTGATCATTGAACTAGGGAGATGACACTGTATAGCCAGACGGATGGCTCCTGGAACGTTACAATGATACCAGATGTATCTCTAACTAAACCTTCAAGTTCAATATGTATATGAAAGAAAGCCTGAAAACACAAGAGGGGCAGTAAAAATTGTACAAATCTTGGGATTAATAGGCATGCAAAGACTGAAGCTACTAAAAGATGCTGAGAGGAGTAGGGAAAATGTTTAGTGAAAAGGTAGTTATTATAGAGCTACATAGAAGGGAGTTCAGCCTAGATGTTAAAGTTACAGAAGACTTGTGGGCAAGTGAGCAACTCCCTACCATGGGAGACGGTCCAGGTGTATTACTTCAGATATGCAGAATTGATGATGTTGCCATTTTTAGATTGTAAGCCTTTCAGAGAAAAGGTTATCTTATGTACTGGCACTACATGAGACACTGTTAGCTCTTAATTATATTATGTAGGCTAAATAATCATCGAATCATAGGACCGGAAGGGACCTTGAGAGGTCATCTAGTCCAGTCCCCTCCACTCATGGCAGGACTAAGTATTATCTAGACCATCCCTGACATGTGTTTGTCTAACCTGTTCTTAAAAATCTCCAATGATAGAGATTCTACAACCTCCCTAAGCAATTTATTCCAGTGCTTAACCACCCTGACAGTTAGGAAGTTTTTCGTCATGTCCAACCTAAACCTCCCTTGCTGCAATTTAAGCCCATTGCTTCTTGTCCTATCCTCAGAGGTTAAGAAAAACAATTTTTCTCCCTCCTCTTTGTAACAACCTTTTATGTACTTGAAAACTTATGTCCCCTCTCAGTCTTCTCTTCTCCAGATTAAACAAACCCAATTTTTTCAATCTTCCCTCATAGATCATGTTTTCTAGACCTTTAACCATTTTGTTGTTCTTCTCTGGATTTTCCCCAATGTAAGTGGGTTTTCTAACCTTATACGAGATAGGATTTAAAGTTTAGTATTTCTTCTTGACTTGGTTAGATTTAAAATACTATAAAAAAGCCAAACATAAGGCCACAAAAGGTACCTTTCTTTTTTTTTTTTTAATAGCATAGTCTCATCATTTTTGGCCTATTTATTTCCTCCTCAACTCCCAATAATGCTGATGGCTCTGCTCAGATAAGGGTAGATGAAGTGATGGAATTTGCCCAACTAATGAAAATTCAACTACAGAGTTTCTGTGTGTTGTGTTTGATTCAGGAAATATCAGCTGAGAAGAAAAATCAGTTAAGTGTTTGTATTCATTTTGTTCAAGAATGCAAACTACAAAAATATTGCTTTTTGTTTATAACCAAGAATGGACTAAGTGAATTTGTGGGCCTGATACACAGTCTCTAGCATTCTTATTATTATAATCAGAGTTTAGTAAGTAGGAGGTAGTGAAATGCACAAGGTTTTCTAATGATAGTTTGACATAACTATTTAGCATTAAAATATCTACTCTGGAAACGAAGAGCAAGCAGTTCTATATGCTATTACTAGTGAAATAATGTTTCCCTTGAACGGAATCAAAACCACCAACCTAAAATAGTTTGTGTGCCTTCTGTGTCAGTAGTTAAACCCCTACATCAAACATAAATAGGCAAAACACTAAAACTTAAGCATAGATATGCAGACGGCACAAATAAAATCTATCCTCCATGCAGATAATTCTCTAATTTTCTAATAAAAAAAATCATAGCCTTGTTAAAAAACTAAGTAACATACTAAACTTATTACTGTCCACTCCCAATTAAACTAAACTACTTATGTGCTTTTTCCTGTTCCCTGCCCCATCCCTGTGAATATCAAAATATTAATGTGAACAAGAGATTTTCCCTTCGTAACCAGTCTCAGAAGCTATATGATATTCAGACCGAGATTTGATCTGGATTAACTTCATCAGGACAGTGTGGTTGTAGTACCTGAACAGGTAGGTGATCTTCTCTGATGAGGGAAGCATATATTGGCAAGATGAGAATCTTTTTCCTGAAAATAGAGTCTCATTTAAACCTGCCCCTATCACCATCAGACAGTCTCCATTCTACTGATCATATTAGTTTTAGAAGAAGTTCAGAATCCACCATCTTGGCAAATAGGTGTTTCAAAATTAAAAGAGAAAGGAATGGGATTTAAAAGGAATCAGAATAGAAAGTGTTTTTTCCAAGAATACTAATAAAATATTTTTCATAACCTTTTAACATTTAAGTTGAATTCTGCCATGGCAGCTAGTGTACAGAAACTTAACTCCTTGTGCCAACTTTTCATTTAAATAGTTAATTTAGAACTACAATTCCTGCCAGTGGTTTCTAAAATTCTATCTCCAGTTTACTAGAAATGCCACTTCCAAGTAATCTAGAAAATTAATAACGTTATAGAAAAATGAAGGTAAAAATAATGTATAACTAATGTTTCACAAGGTACATCCCTTTATTTTTGTAATCACAAAATCATGATTTTGTACAGGAATGTGTAAGTGAACATTAATCAATGCAATTAAATTTGTTTAATAAAGATCAGGTAAACATACTACAGAACATATTGTATTGTAAAGAACAAAAATATCGTAACTTTCTGGCCTTGCAGTGCACATTTTAGTGCAAGTATTAAGACACAATAGTGTTCAATTCAGCAAAATATTGCAGAATATCATGCCACAGTCCACTTCAAAGAGGGTCAGGACATGCAGCTTGTTAATAAAATGCTGTAGTATATAAAAAAAGACATGGTAATTCATAAAATATATAGTGGTTTATTTGAACGATTTTAAAGTGATTTCACTGTGGAATTTAGCTTAACCGGGACAAACATCCAAAGTGTCTTCTGGTTTGGAATATTCTCCTTTCTAGGCAATGGCTTTGGCTTCAGGTAGGAATGCCTCCCAGTATTTTATCAGCTTGAGGAAAAGGAAGGAAAAAAAAAAAAGAAGTTCAGCATTTTCCAAAAGCACATTTTCTGCCAACGTGGCAATTGCAGGAAAGCACCTAGTAGTAATGTTTACATAAATCCATTCGTTACTATGGAGTAATCTCTAAAAGTTGACACTTCAGTCATTTGTCTTTACACAATAAACATGCATATATTTACAAAAGTAGCTCTCCTCTAGGCAGATTTCCCTCTCCACTTCTAGCAAATGTGATGGGGTGAGATACTTTGAAAGAATTTGGATTGATGTAAAATGGAGGATTAGGATACGTTACATGTAATGAGAAAGAAGGTTTTCCATCTGAAATAGCATTTATACATTACTCACATGGGAACTGAACCTACTCTTAACGTAATTTTACTGTTGTTTGACATTCAGCATTTGTATCTGTCAGGTGAATAAACTAAAATCCAAAGACTCAATTTCTAAAACTAAAATAGACACCCCTTCCATAATAATTTATAAAGACTTCACTCTATGGCTAAAATAATTCCATGCTTCCAATTTTACTTTTGAGATTATGAAGCATACAAGTGTCTTGAGTGAGAGTACCTATATTATCTTATAGTTTTTGCATACAAGTCCAATGTGGCTGTTTCAAGAAAAAGCAAACTTTCTACAGCCCATCCACACGTGAATAAATTACTTCAGTTAATCAGTGATAGAAAAAACAAGACTAGGAGCATTTTTCTCCCCCTGTAAATATAGTGAAGTGAGGGAAGTTAAAAAAAAAAAAAAAAAAAAAAAAAAAAAAAGGGTTACCAGTAGTAACATGGATGAAAGACAGCACCAATATTCATATAAGTGTAGTTCTGTCTCCTTCCCACCCCTCCAAATCCAACCTAGAATGCGGTCAGTTTTTAATTTTACAAAATTTTACTAATACCATTTATAATTGAAAAATTCTCATAGTCAGAGCTTCATTTTAGGTTAGTAACAAAACCCCTGGAATGAGTTCCACAAAGTTTAGCTTACCTGCTGTTGTGTTTGCACTAATGATTCTAAGTACTTGATAATAACAGTTTTAAAGTCTTTCACTCGTTCCTTCTGTTAATAAATGAAATAGATTAATTCTGGTAGATTAACATAAATAACCGATTTTTTAAAATGCCATATAGCTATTATATCCTTACAGCAAATGAGAATGTCACTGAATTTGTAAAACAGTTATACATGCCTCAAATCTTCCCACTTCTTTGCGTATGGTTTTGGAGATCTGTTCAAAGTCTCTCTCCCCTTGCTGAACTTTTGTCTCCCACTGGCAAAGGAAAAACGTGCATAGATAAGACATTATGTTACTCATTCACATATCTAGAATAAATAGACAGTTCTAGCTATAATCTACCAGCACTAATAAATTAAGGAGAGAAAGCATTTTATTTCAACGAAATGCTATTTGCTTGAAGCTGAAAAGTAAGAGTATTTAATTTAAATTTGACAAAGAAACATTTTAGGGAAACTCAAGGTAGTGGCCATGTCAATCCAACTATATTTTACACTGAGGAATGCCAAAAAATGCTGTTATTTAACAATATCTCCTCCTTTAGAGCCGATTATACAGACTTGAAATTTTTGTTAGCAAGAGCCCATTATTCACAGCAAACTCTTCCTATATCAGTTAAAACATTCTTTAGTGAAACCTTTGATGGCACTGTCTGTAAAAGGAGCATCCAATTAAACTAAATTACCTAAAAAGTTACTTTTTAAAAACCTTAAGTTGTCATACACTTAGTAGCATGCCATTAATATTTCACTGCCACATACAGCCTGGTTCAGGATCACAAGTTATCCCTAGCTTACGGAGAAAGCTCCATAAGAAAGGCCATACCGGGTCAGAACTAAGGTCCATCCAGCCCAGTATCCTGTCTGCGGACAGTGGCCAATGCCAGGTGCCCCAGAGGGAGTGAACCTAACAGGTAATGATCAAGTGATCTCTCTCCTGCCATCCATCTCTACCCTCTGACAAACAGAGGCTAGGGACACCATTCCTTACCCATCCTGGCTAATAGCCATTAATGGACTTAACCCCCATGAATTTATCTAGTTCTCTTTTAAACCCTGTTATAGTCCTAGCCTTCACAGCCTCCTCAGGCAAGGAGTTCCACAGGTTGACTGTGCGCTCTGTGAAGAAGAACTTCCTTTTATTTGTTTTAAACCTGCTGCCCATTAATTTCGTTTGGTGGCCCCTAGTTCTTATATTATAGGAACAAGTAAATAACTTTTCCTTATTCACTTTCTCCACATCACTCATGATTTTATATACCTCTATCATATCCCCCCTTAATCTCCTCTTTTCCAAGCTGAAAAGTCCTAGCCTCTAATCTCTCCTCATATGGAACCCGTTCCAAACCCCTAATCATTTTAGTTGCCCTTCTCTGAACCTTTTCTAATGCCACTATATATTTTTTGAGATTTTGTTGCCCAATCACTTAGTTTTGTGAGATCTTTTTGAAGTTCTTCACAGTCTGCTTTGGTCTTTACTATCTTGAGCAGTTTAGTATCATCTGCAAAATTTGCCACCTCACTGTTTACCCCTTTCTCCAGATCATTTATGAACAAGTTGAATAGGATTGGTCCTAGGACTGACCCTTGGGGAACACCACTAGTTACCCCCCCTCCATTCTGAAAATTTATTCCTACCCTTTGTTCCTTGTCTTTTAACCAGTTGTCAATCCATGAAAGGATCTTCCCTTTTATCCCATGACAACTTAATTTACATAAGAGCAGTTGGTGAGGGACCTTGTCAAAGGCTTTCTGGAAATCTAAGTACACTATGTCCACTGGATCCCCTTGTCCACGTTTGTTGACCCCTTCAAAGAACTCAACGTACAGCATTGCCAGATATGGTACCTTGTCCATAACTGCTGTAGTCAGTTTTCAGAATCTGCTCTCTTGCCTGCACAAACTGAGCTACGATGCGCACAGCTGCTGTTGATTGTAAATTGAGAAGATAGAAAAAAAGGCTTGCAATTCTCAATGCTTGCAGCCTATTACACTTTCATACAAAAGGCTTCAGGTTTTGAGAAACATTCAGAGGTTGAGATTGACAAATTTAGTTTCGAGGTGTAACTGAAGCATGGGGATCCGCTGCCTAGTACAATTATCTTCCTATAAACCAACCAACAGGTCAAACATACCAAAAATTTAGAAAGTTCAATCTATATTAGGTTGCCAACAAGAAAATACTATTCCCTCTCCCCAGATAATTCTATAAAAAAGGTGATATTCAGTACAAAGACCATAGCAAATGATGCACTGCAATATATTTTGCATCAAGGAACAATGCTTGAACAGTTTTATAACTGGAGATATACAGCAAAATAAAAAAAAAGTTAACATTTAAGTACATTTATTCCAATTTCCCTTATCTTTACTGTTCAGATGCCCATTCTGACATGGAATAGGCAATAAGCCACAACAGAACGTGCTTCTGTAGGCTATTGATGTACACCTCAGGGGAGATTCTATGCTGTGCCTCTAAGTGGTGCACTACAGAATTCAAAGCTTAGAGTGCGGTGTTTGGCTTTGAGCCACCTTTGCACCATCCCTCTCCTGGGCTGCTCTGGAGAGATCCCCAGCATTAATTTAGGGCTTGCCTAGATGAAGTTAGTGCATACGAAGCTGGAGTGTAAATCTATAGTGCACTAGCATGCCCCACAGTAACTGGCTGTGTAAGGTCAATGCACTCTAGTGTGCGGTAGCATGGTCCACATGACCAGTTAAGTGTGTGGCATGCTAGTGAGCTGTAGATTTACCCCAGCTTGCCACACACTAGCTTTTCAGACAAACCCCTAGGCATGCCTGGGGACCTGTCAAGTTATGGCAGCATCCCTGAGCTAACCTATGGGCTGCAGCACTGCCTAGTATCTCAACAGTACTGTATCCCAGTTCCAATACAGATCTTCCACTGCCAGCCCTGCGCTCAGCATGCCCTCTATGGGGGGAGAGGGGCAAGAGAAGGGGTCAATGGAGGTCAATCTTACAGACATCTTCTACAGTTCCAGGGGAATCCTTCCCTGGTTGGAAATGGAGCTTTTAGGGTCCCTATATGCCACTCCAGCCCTTTTACCTGGTATAAAGGGGCTGAGACACAAGTGAGGATCTTGCCCCTCATGGGCTTCAGCATCATGCCTGGGAAGTTAACAAGGAGTATTAATGCACACTCTGGAGTGGTTTTTAGCTATTTGAGTATGGCTCAATAATCTGAATAAAATTAAATCATCAATATTTGGAATTGTGGTTTCTGCAACAAGTCCTTCTCCTGTGAAGAAATACTTCCTAGTAGGAAAAAAGGAATCCTGCTTTGGGGCCAAGTAGGCCAGCCCTGTCCTTCATCTCCTTTGGTATAAAATCAATAGAATATTTTAAAAATCTTTTTTGGTGTAATTGGCATAGAGAGTTTCCTCTTTTTGGTAATTAGTTACAATTCACTGTTTTGAGTTTGTGCATGGCAGTGACATCACCAAACTGTCCAGCAGCCATTGAGAACATGACTGTGGACAATCACTAATTCTCCTAAAAGTCAACAACATGCGAGAGCCAGTGGGTAGTATAATATTTTGTGGAGAAGGCCAAGTTCTATTTGTAAACTTCCTCAAGTCTAATAGGCAAAACACTGTGAAAGTGCAGAAAAGACAAAGCAGCTTGTGATTAGTGACCAATGAAGCAGCCAAACAAAACAACTGTGAAGATTTTAAGCTCTATTATGCAGTGATGTTTTCCCACAATTGGATGACAAAGCTGGTACACACTCTTTTAGAGTATGTGTATTAATTCAAATTTTAAAAAAAATTGTCCTACCTCTTCAATTTCCTTGGTGAAGCATGACAGAAAAAGTGTATAAATTATGACAAACTTCAACATGTTATATTTAAGTACTTTTACTGAAATTATACCATATATATATATATATATATATATATAGGCAGAAACGTTGCACCAATAAGGAAAACATGGAAATAGTCTTTTTAAATTGACTGTAGCGATACATTTTAGTTTTAGAAGCCAGAAGACAGTCATTTGACTGCATATAAGTAAACTGACTCAATCAGTAAAGAATGTTTTTAAACTTTTCCATGTTTTTGTCCGTCCCCCCCCATTCTGTAAGAGAGAACAAAAGCACCTTACAGATTTCATATTGGTGTAACAATTGTGCACATTTTATATTTAATTAATATCATTCCTTTTAACAATTTCAGTAAACATGGAAAATAGCAAATGTATAAGTGATTTATAAATAAAAATCCATATAAAAGTAGTGCATTATGCTGATGAATGAATCAATGGAAAATTTAGGCCTTCAGAATATAAATAGGTAGTCAGGCGTTCAACTTAATTATTACCTCCTTTATCTCATCTTTAGCTTGCTGCAGTTTATCAGGTTTGTTGGCAAGTTGGAGCTTCGCTTCAGCCTCACGTTTTTTCTGTAAAGTGACCTGAGCATCTTGCCATTTCTGCCAACATTTCATTCGATGATCTAACACACCCTGTAAGTGTAATAATGCAACAGAATTTTTTTAAGTATCATGTTAACTATGTCAATGTGCTGCAAAATTAAAGAACAGGAAATAATGACTGAGTAAGACCTACTCTGCATCAGATATCTTGCAAACGTCTCCCAATCCAACTGTCTTAATTTTTCTAATACAGTTATTATGAAAAGTATCTGACTACTGCAGAATGAAGTCCTCCATATATCCACAGACTAAGGCATACATGCAAGGGGCCATCTCCTGTGAACATACAGTTTAGTCTCCATACCCATTCAGTCCTTTCTCTCTCTCCCAAGTCTGTTGACAAGGCTGCCAATTAAGGAGGGCTAGTCTTTAACACTAATCTGTTAGAATCTGCATTTAGGCCACTGATTTCATTTTTATAGGCCACTCAGCTGTCTGGTAATATGTTTTGGTGGAAACAGATCAAAGTAGTAAGAATTAAGTTTTAAGTGTTCATAAGCTTAAAGTAATTTCTAAACCAAAACATAACTTCTGATAAAATGTTGAAAGATACATCCAGATAAATTAGTGTTGAAACACTGTCTTACATCCCCAACAAGTAATCAAAAGCTACTGGTACCAGATAGCACAGTTTACACCCTCACTGAACACTCCTACAATGCTTTTTAAGTTCTAATAGAGCTAAATTTGATATTTTTTGTCTCTGACATCTCACATTAAGGCCTCTAGGCACATAAAAAAATCTTTAAGACAAAAGTACAGACCCGTAACTCTTGTGTTCCACTACAAGTTAATATTTTATGTACCTGAATATAAGCAGCACACCATGCTGAACAGTACAATGTCCTTATACAATAAACACACTTCCTAGGACTATCATTCACATATATAAATTCTCCATTTAAGTGTATACAATGTTTGGGATGTTGGAGAACCCGAATTTGATTAATCCACATTACACAACAGTTTATATAGTGGGATGCCTCAATACTGGAAGAGGCGGATTTCTCCCTAGCGATTTTCAATGCTAGCTTGAAGTCACAGCTCTCCTTGCAACAGTTCTGCATTTACTTTCCCTTCTATTGCCCATGCATTCTTAGCCTGTGAAGAAATTGCGACTTTCAACATAAATCCTGTCTTCCAGCAAGATAAACAGGTTGCATTTTTAAAACAGGGCTTACTTTTACTGCAGCAATAAGACGAATGTAGTCACCGAGCAGTTCTGAGAACACATAGAAGTCAGCAAAAGCTTGTTCTTGATGTAACTGGTCTATTTTCTCCTCAACTTCTGCAAGCTGAGACAAAGCTCTAGATAAAGCAGTGTGGTCCTCAGAGTTACCTAACATGGCAGCACTTTTAGCGAAGGCAGCTGTGTTGGCTGAAAGCTCTGAAAGACAAGAGCAAAATTCAGTGTGAAAGTTTTTCAGACGTTACTCCTGGGGGGAAGTCTGAGCCACTGTGCATAATTCATGTCCCCCTGCAGATTTTTCCCCCCCTCCAAGAATATAGATTCTGCTGGAGAGACACTGCAGTTATACCTTTTGCACATCAAAGTCTGCTGTGGAGCCAGAAGAGAGGACAGCCAGCTGGTGGAGAGGGAGGCAAAGAGGCTGCATTCCTCACAGCGGGACCAGGTGAGGAAGCACGGGATGGATGGAGCAGGGCACATGGGGTTGCTGGGTAGTCTCAGACTGTGGTTCAGAAAGGCTAATATGTGTGTGTGGAGGAGCAGATAGACAGACTGGGACATGGATTCAGGCAGGGCCAGATTAACCTTTTCTGAGCCCGGTGCCAAATATATTTGTGGGTCCCTTCTCAGTGTGGGCCTGGCGCAACAGCACCACTGGTGCCATAGTAAATGCGATACTGCCAGGATGGGGATGAAAACATTTATTCAAAAACATAACAAGATATTTGAAGCCACACTTGATTGAGACCTCCACTTGGCCCATAGATAAACTGGGCTAGCATCCATATACCCAGAATACTCTTGAATTTGGTTTGTGTGGGAGGGGGTTAGTTTGTCTTTTTTGTTTAAGCACTCAGGGCCTGCTTGGGGCCCTGAACACAAGTGCTTAATTAGTACACTTATGAGCCATATTAAGCCCGAATGTAGCAGTCAGTGGAGGTGCACCTGCATCTCCACACCACCATCTTCTCCACCCAAAGTTATGTTTCGTAAATACATTTTTTGAAAGCTGCATTTTCTACTTTGATACAATAATGTTTACAAAACTTTTTAAAAAGCTAGTTTCTTTAGCCTATTTCTCCCTTTGCCTCACCACCCCTCATGACTTCAAGTGAAACAGTAAAATTATTGGGGAGGAAAATTGCTGGTGCCCATCTTCTGCAGGGAGAAAGGGCCACAGAGATGCACACACATTACCACAAAGGCTACCACAATCCAGCCTCAAACACCTACCCAAACCTTCACATCTGGGCTCTTATCCCATCCCTCCTACTGTCCTCACTCCACCCAACTAACCCCCACTTTCACACAAAGGCTTTCCTCAATCTCCCTGCTACTGCCCCCACACACTTTCACCCCAGGGCTATCATCTCTCTCCTTTCTGCTGCCACCCCGCAGCCAACCTCCCACCTTCAACCCAGACTCTCTCCTCCCTCTGCCCCCCCACACCCAACCCCCACCTTCAGCGCTGACTCTCCTTGCCCTCTGCCCCATCAACCCCCACTTTCACACTCTGCTTCTTCTATCCCCCCCCTCACAGAGTCACCGCCAACTCCCCCATTGCACCTGGACTTGCCCCACAACTGTCCCTTTCCCCCCAAAACTGTGCTGGGCCCCTCCCCAGAGTGCGGGGGGAACGCATTTCTGGGCATTCCCACTGGCAGGGGGTGTGGCAGCCAGCACTACCCAGCCCAGCTGTCACCGCCCCTCTGGCTCCTGGGGACCACAGACAACCACTCCCCATCCCCGCGCCATGAAGCTGCAGGATCGAGTCAGTGCCCAGGAGCTCACAGCCAGGCATCAGGGTTGCCAGGGGGCTGCACGCTGGGAATCACAGCATCACAGCTACCCTCTGCTCTCCACCACCCCAGGATAGTGGTGGAGACACAGGGGTGGGGGAGCAAGCCAGGAGCCCCCATCCTGTGCCCCATGGGAGAGGGAGGGTGCAGAGGGATCAGCGCCAGGAACCTTCTTCCTGAACCAGACCATTTCCTTGCTGGCAGCGTGGCGCAGGGCATTCTGGGACTAGTAGTGCAACTGGCAACGCAGGTTCCAGGGCCCCAGCGGAACACAGCGGCGTGCAAACTACAATTCTCAGTACATCCTGCAACTGCCAGTCCCTGTTGCGCCTGAGCACTTCACTCCCTGGGCTGCTGAGTGTTTCAGTCATTGCTGGGAAGTTGCTGACTCTTCTGTGGCCAGGGCTGGATTAACCCTTTGTGGGCCCCTTCCAAGCATGGGCCTGGTGCCACCGGAGCCATTGTAAACCCGGTACTGGGCTCAGGAGCAAGTGGGGAGACAGCACTAAGCCAGAGGCTGAATGGGAGGGGGGCTGCAGGGACACATGGGGACGGGGGCAGATGTGCCTGACTAAATGGGAGAGGGTAGGGGTTAACCCCAGGGTCTGCATGAGGGAGGCTCCTCAACTCCCTAACAATCCCCCCACAAAAATAAACTCTGTTCCATACTTCTCCTACCCACACCTAACAACCCTCCAGGTTCACTCCCAGGCTCCTTCCCTCTCCGTCAGCTCCTCCATTACACCTGATTCCCCTAAGCCTTTGCACTGCTTCTGAGGGGTGCAGGAAATACATTTCTGTATTGTAGTTTAAATGAATTACTCAAAGTTCTGTATTAATATGCCTAGTAAAGAATCTATTTGTCAAAAGACATTTCCTGAATCTTTTTTTTTTTGTCTGTATTGTTACAGACATGCTTGTTGACAGGTATTTTGAAATACATTACCAAAATAATTGGAACTGGCATGATTATATTGTGTTATTTTGACAAATAAAATATGCAGAGTTTTAAAATATTGTGTGCAGAATTTTTATGTGCAGAATTCCCCAAGGAGTAAGTAAGTAGTATTCTGGTTTCTTCCTAGAGTTTATAATGAGGCTACAAATTACCCATTAGAAAGGATAGATTATCAAAGACTGGTTCTTGAGACAAGACCACCCATGTTCCCCAGAGATAGGCCTGTGTTTAAAATAATTCAATTTTCCATCTAAATACAATTCTGAAAATATATCTACACTTTTAACTTACCCTTTTCAAAGCTTGTGAGAAAACAAAGCATACATAGCGAGAACAAAAACAAGGCACTGAGAAATAACCATATACAGGGGGTTAAGTACTGCCCTTTCTCTGCAGCAAAACTCATGTCAAGGAGTATGGTGTATCAGGATCAAGTATATAACTCTAAGTGGAAGAAATCGTTAAGTACTGGGGCTGGAGAAAGTGAGGAAACTAAAAGGTTTCCATTTCTGTGCTTTGGCCTAAACTGTATACATTCAAATATTTCTCTTAAGCAAACAAATCAGGATGAAGATAAAACATTAATTTTTTTGAGACAGTTATGGATCCTAGAATTCCAAATTTAAAATTCAAAACAAAATTCAAGATAACGGTAAAAACATTAGGCTCAAACGCCCAAGCATTGGCCTGTGAAGACCAGCCCTTGTGTCTAGCCTGTAATCCTGTTCTGTAAAATTCTACTCCTGAATTATGAGTAAAAAAAAAAAATCTTTGATTATCATCTGTGTCCTGATGTATTCTGTGGAATTGACCCTCTGCTGCAGAACTATGCTACAGAATCTCAGCTTTCATTGAAAAATAAGTTTCTAGTCTTCATGGTTTTGAGAAAAATATTGAAATAGTGAACCGAGTTTAAAAACCATATACTGTTGTTGCTGGGTGTGTAGACAGCCCAAAACAATAGCTCTAAGAGGCATTAACTTTCATCCTCACTCAGGGTCCCACGGACTCTCTGATTCTGTGACCACAGAAGTCACTATCTGCTCAGGCCAAGTGAGCCACATTTTTCTCTCTATCTCCCTGACCCGGCTGCAGCTTTCTCTCACTCTCCAGCTTTTCCCACAAAGGGCAATTACCTGGCTTACAGTGCACTCATTGCACAGTTCTATGGAGCCAGGCAATAGAGCACTGAGGGGGTCAGAGCCCAGCTTATAGCCAGGGAGCAGATGGAGCCAAAAATCTAGATTGATAAAATAAGCTGCCTGGAGAACAGTGCATCACCTGAGGCCTTGGGAACAAGGGAAATGTGTAGCTGAGTGTGGCTATGCTCCCCACTTCCCTGGCACACACAGGGGAAAGGAAGTCAGGGCCGCCCAGAGGATTCAGGGAGCCTGGGGCAAAGCAATTTTGGGGGCCCCTTCTATAAAAAAGAAAAGTTACAATGCTATAGAATACTATATTCTCGTGGGGGCCCCTGCGGGGCCCTGGGCAAATTGCCCCACTTGCCCCCCACCCCCGGGTAGCCCTGAAGGAAGTTCTGAGCTAGGCTGACTGGACAACACTGCAAGAACAAAGACCCAGTGAATGGAGCCAGGCTGCCTGGAGAGTAAAGCAAAAACTTATGCTCAAAAATGCTCAACTGAAAATATGTCTTTACTAGTTTTATATAAATAAGAAAGTTCAGCTATGAAGCACAGATGCACGTGTTTGGAAACAGGGTGGAAAGGAATGAAGTTATTTCATAAGACAATAAATTAACACTGACATTGAGTTTAAGGGTACTTGCTGCAGAATACACGTTGCCTCCTCCTCATCCTCCACCCCCAATTATAATCTTCTCATGATAAAGGGCGGGCAAGTCAGTTTTCGGTTTTAAAAGGCTGCCATAATCATATGGGTGGCACCTTTGTAATTAGGTGCACCTACATCAATATATGAAAGATGACCTACTTGTAGTATAATATGAACCCAGTAAAAGTTTATTATATTACAACATTATCTTCAAAAATACTTACACATTTTTATGTTTAATTTTCATGTTTAATTTTATGCAAATCATTTTAAATAATAATGCTGTATCGAGTTAATTCGTACAAACAGGATTTGATAAACAATTGCCTATGTGCATGTTAGCTTATGTCACAGGTAATCCATTTGGAAACTTGACAAAACTTACAACTAAGGTAACAATGGATTGTAAAAAGCAGCACCACATAAACAGGGCCAATGATGATAACAAATGTTTGTAATTTTAAAACTCAAGTTTTCCTTCTTCTTTTCAGGTATTTAAATAAATACATGTATCTATGGCTTTTTCAAAAAATAACTTTGGTAGTTATTTGAAATTCTAGCAGCCACTGATCACACTCCCTATACAGTACCAAAGCAAGTTTCCGTTTTCATGTGTTCATAGCATCCTGAAATATTTATCTTTAGGGCTGAAGTTTTAATGCCATCTCTGCCTGAAGATCAACATCTTAAATTTTTTTTTTTTTTTTTTTAATTTTCAACATGAGCAAAATGTCTTCATTTAAGATAAAATTTCACACTTCCAATTGTGGAAAAAATATTAATATAGGGTTACAGCAAAATGACTAGTTTGAAATTTGGCACAAGGACTAGTGTGCATTTGGTAAAAGTTTTGAAACTGAAGTCCACCAATTTTTCAATCACTTAGCATGGTCTGTAGACACTCTGTTAATGTTTGCCTTGAGTTTAATAAAGTCCTTTCCCGTTTGACACCACTGTCTATTCTTAGCAGGTTAGGCAGGCATAGTGCCAGCGTTATGGTATGCATGAGGAAGAATACACATCATTAAAGGATTTTCCAGTGTGTTAATCAGGGATAAAGATTCTGTATTTTGTGTTTTCACATCTATCTGGAGTTTTGCTGCATTCTCAAATGTTACAATGTGCTGTAAACTAAGATTTTACTTCTTAAAAAAGTTATGTTTCTATCTTTCTGTTAGGGAGACGTAGCTGAATCTAAAACTGATACTCTGTAGCACTATTAAACCCAGTACACAAAAAACCTGTCCGGCTAAAGAGCTGCAATGGTTTAAGCTAGCCCTTCTCTATCCCATTCACTTTGATAAGACAAAAAAAAAAAATAAAAAAAAAAAAATCAGCTACTGACAATTTTTACTTTTAAAAGACAAATTAAATGCCATGATGACTTATTCTCAGTACAGTTGGCTTAATGCAAGGGTTAGTTTCAACAGAGGCATTTATCTGATCATGTTGCACGTATATTTACGTAATAATTTTTATTCTCATTTTGTTTAAATGTGTAAATTCATAATCTTGCTTTTTACACTGTAAACTATACATTTTAAGACATACAGGATGCACAACAAAGCATTTCTTGACCTATCTTACCTACACAGTCATTTTGCATCAACTGTTAAAACTTCAACCTTGTTCTAAAACAAATATGTCCTTTGTAATTGCTTTAGCTTTACCTGTACCTGTAAGGATGACTGTTAGGAATAGAATTGGTAATCACCTGTAGAATAAACTTGTGTATCACCCATGTTTTGTACCATCAGTGCACAGTTCACTCTTGCAAAGCTTGTACTAATCAAACAAGTGTTCTTGAGAAAAGAATCCAATGCTATAATCAATATAGCAACCTTTAAAAATTCCCTTTTTAATGGGTATAACAGGAATTGTATACATTTGGGATAATAAAATGTAAGTTGAGGGATACAAAAGAAGTTCCAAAATGTTTGATAAGTTTAAATAAAATAATAAAGGTAATTTTAAGTTGGAAAGTTAGTGTATGTTTTGTATTAAACCACAGTATACTCTGAGTCTCTGGCTAACTTACCTTGTATTAGTTGCAAGTCTATAGTAAAAATCAATTTAACATGGATATGAAATAGTTTGTTTTAATAAAATATTTTAACTCCTGGGCACTAAAATTAACACCCACATTAAAACAAAACCTACCTTTTCTGTGGCAGACCAAGGCTTCTACACTGGCATGAAGTTTCCTAAGTTGCTGATCCAGATTCTCAAATTGTTGCTGTTTTTCCTCAAACCACTGGCAAAAGATAAAAAAAACAAGCAGTACAAATTACGTTACCAATAACAAACTACATTCCTTGTTTTAAAGGAACAAATTAACTATGTACAACCATGGTGGTCAACTGATGCAGCTGAGAACCCAAGCCAATAAGTAAATTAATATCCCATTTTCTACTCCTTCAGCCTTAAAATGCAATTGTTGAGCCTCATTAATTTGTCTCATTATTCAAGTCGAAAAATCAGCTCTTACTGCATCCGATTCATTCATCTTGATTGTCATTTTGTTGACAGCGTCGGCAGCCTTGTTCACCATCCTCAATATTCCTGCTCCACTCAGAGCCTGGGTGTTAACTGCTCTCGGCAGCTGGAATTGAATGACAAATAAGGGCAAACAAACCGGTTAAAAGGCTGGAGGTTTAACTGGGCACAAGAGGGACTGAAAAGGATGTAGTGTTTTCTTCACTCTCATATATTTCAATATAGTAGAACCTAATTTCTCAAATTTACTACTTTTACATTCTCAGAGGAAAACTTAAAAATATAGACTTTCCATTTGCTTCTCTTCTGTACCTTTACATTTAGATGGAACAAACACCCTATTTGTCAAAAGTTGTTACGAAATAGCCAAAGGCCTTAACTGGCCACCTATATGCTAGAGAGAGCAAACTGCTACTAAAGAAACAGACAGAAAAGCTTAGATATAGTATAAAACGATAAATACATTGAGATGCTATAATAATATTTCAGTACATTATGAAAATCTTTCAGATCGTATCTTGGTCGTGTACAAATGAGCACACTGTATTTGTGTACATTAATTTCTAAATGTAAGTTGAGTCTTGAAACCTACCTCTCACAGGAATGTCATGAGAATTAGTATTTAAGTTATCCAGTAATGATGCACATGTCAGTGATGTGATTCTTTAGGTATGGTTGGGGTAACATGACTAGGATAATGACGTGGGCTTATTAGACAAGTAAGTATTACAGCAGATACATTATGTGCATCCATAAAACGGACTGTTGTCATATATACAGATTTTTTAAGTGTATTTAATGCTTGTGAAATGTGCTAGATTGATAGCACTGGTGACCAAAGTCCTCTATCCACAGAACAGATATAGTATGGCCAACAGCAGCGCAAACTTCTCCATATTACCCCCACCAACAAACTTCAACCTTGACGTCAGGGGAATCCCATCTAGGGGTTACAGGTGAGAGGATAATTTTGTTTCCATGACAGTTTAAACCCTCAACTCTCTGCTGAAAGCAGCCAACAGCAGTGCCATGTGTATTTTAGTGACTTGGACATTTGTCCATTTGGAGCTGGGAAGAACAATTTATTTCCCATAAACTAGTGAGCAGTCAGGTAACTTCAGAGTCACTACTGACCTAATCTACATTTTAATAAGAGGTAAAGGCAAGAGACTCTGTAGCTCATTGTTTTTGTACCTTGAGACATCTTATCCCACTGAAGATATAATCTAATCTTAGTGCACAAGAAATTATGGGACTAAGTCTCCATATCTAAAGATGAGAATATATTACTTTGTATAAAGTACCATTATTAACTAGAGAACAAATAGGAGAACTTAAAAAACAAAAAACAAACAAACAAACAAAAACACGTAAATACCTCAGAACTTTCCAAGAACTGCCTTAAATCAGGATCCTGTAACAAGGTTGGGTGTTTTACTGTTCGTTGTAGATACCTATGATTTTAAAGATTAAAATATTAGATAACTTAAAACAATTTAGTGCTCCTGACAGCACTGGAAATGTCCTTATCCACGGAGCAAGCAGCGTGCAAGCTTCCCTTAATCATTCTGCCAATATGCTCAAGCCCCCTGTTGTGGAGGAATCACCTCTAAGGGTTAGAAGATAGTTCAGTCTCCCTGCCCCTTCAATCCTTTGCCTCTCTGCTGTGACTTACAATCATGTTTGTGTGTATGTTACCTGCCCCTCCAACCCCCAAAAAACTTAAGCTGATATCAAACACCCAGCATTTGGTTATCTGCCTGTGCCAACAACTATTATGAAAAATCACTATGAGAAGTCTTGTTTACATATACCAAGAAGAGAATGTTACAAAACCAAAGCAACTGAAAATGGGAAGACATGGGTATGCTAAAGAAAAGCCAAGAAACCTAAGGAATACAAGGCAACCAAATTTAGATTCATCCCTTGATGAGTGAAGTTATCAGTAACTGATGAATGAATCTACAGCTCTGATGTTTGCTTTCTTTTGAGAAATTTACTTTTTGCTTTTTCTTGGAACACAAAGATCTATTGCTGCTTGAACAACAGTCTCATGCTATATGTCCTGTCTTGTCCCACGGTCTTTTTTTTTTTTTTTTGCCAGTGCCCTAGTAAGCCCTTTAGGGCAAGGACCGGTCATGTTTGGCTCTGACTTAACAGTACTACTATACAGCATGCAGTGTAGTTATAAATGAACAATGCCATCTATATTATAGAACAGGTTGGACAAAACCTGTCAGGGATGATCTAGGTTTGCTTGGTCCTGCCACAATCAATATATTTGAAAAGGTAGGAAATCATTAAGGTATAATTCTCGTTCAAGTCTCTTTAGTATGGCATCCAACTTAGAATTTTTTTGTTATTTACTTTTTTTTTTTTTAGGTTGCAACTGAATTTAAAAAGTAAAATGAATTGACCAGACTTTAGTCAGAAAATTCAGATTGTGTGGATCTGATCCAGCAGCTCAAGAACTGTACAAGCTGCTGGATCAGACTGGGCATACAGAGCCTACTTAGTACATGAATATACCAGGGGAATGCAGTAAATATAAATACACATATTACCTTTCTAGTGCAGCTCTTCTTTTTTCTACAAATTCTGTAGATGATGAATCTTCCTTGCCTACTTTAACCTTGGTCATGCCTTTGAAGAAAATTATGTGATATTGATTTTACATTACCATGAGGCAATCATGAACATAACTGATGTGCTTAGAACTATAAAGGTATTAAAGCTCACTTGAATGTTATGCATTAAAGTCAAAGTTACATGAAAATCAGCACCAAGGCATACAGAGAAAGATAATGGATACTGTATGCAGTATGCTTTTCTAAAAATTCCCAAATGACAAATTTCTGAAATCAAGTACACTGCTGCTGATAAAAATTTTGGATATTTAAAACAATTTCAATTATAAAAAGTAGGGCCGTCAATCGCAATCAACTCAAAAAATTTAAATCACGATTAAAAAAATTAATAGTGATTAATCGCAGTTTTAATCATACTGTTAACAGAATACCAATTGAAATGTATTATATATATTTTTGGATGTTTTCCTACCTTTTCAAATATATTGATTGCAATTACAACGCAGAATACAAAGTGTACAGTGCTCACTTTATATTTTTTTTTACTACAAATACTTGAACTGTAAAAAAGATAAACAAAAGAAACAGTATTTTTCAATTCACCTCATAGAAGCATGTCCTCTGGAATGGTGGCCGAAGCATGAAAGGGCACACAAATGTTTAGTATATCTGGCACATAAATACCTTGCAAAGCCAGCTACAAAAGTGCCAGGTGAACGCCTGTTCTCACTTTCAGGTGACATTGTAAATAAGAAGTGGGCAGCATTAGCTCCCATAAATGTAAACAAATTTGTTTGTCTTAGTGACTGGCTGAACAAGAAGTAGGATTTAGTGGGTGTGTAGTTCTCTAAAGTTTTATGTTGTTTTGTTTCTGAGTGCAGTTACGTAAAAAAAAAAAAATCTACCTTTATAAGTTGCACTTTCACAATAAAGAGATCGCACTACAGTACTTGTCTGAGGTGAATTGAAAAATACTATTTCTTTTGTTTTTTACAGTGTAAATCAACACTAATATAAAGTGAGCACTGTACACTTTGTATTCTGTGTTGTAATTGCAGTCAATATATTTGAAAATGTAGAAAAATATCCAAAAATATTTATAATAAATTTCAGTTGGTATTCTATTATTGTTTAAAGTGCGATTAAAACTGCGATTGATCACAATTAATTTTTTTAATTGTTTGACATCCCTAATTAAAAAAAAAAGATCTAATAGAAGTCAGATGACTTGAAACTTATTAGGAACTCACACTCCACAGAGTTAAGTTGCAACTTCTAAAAAGTTTGCCACTTTATTGAATAGACTACTGTATAGTGTATTTTCTTGCCTTTTTTTTTTTAAATACTAATTTGGAAGTAAACATGTTTACAAATCCTTGCCATGTAAATATCAGAAACAAAACAATCATTACAAAAGTGAGTTTTTGTTTAAAAAGACATACAATAATATTAGCATCAGATCTCTCTTTTTAGTAGGGTGTTATATTACAGTGACAATCCTTACACCTATGTTACTTCTAGTGATTTTATTAGATTGAGTGATAATTATTTCTAGTGATTTTATTACACTGAGCTCCAATTACATATATTTAACAGAGCAGGCATATCTATCAAATGTTAACATTCAAAAAATTGGACAGGTGTCTTCCCCACCCCCACCCCCCCCGCGCAGGTGAGTACACTGTCTGAATTTTGACTACATGGTAACCTTATATCCAAGTATCTGTCCTCTAATTTGCTTGGTTTGCAGTTGGTGTGTGAATTTTCCATAATCACCACCTTCCTGTATAGATGGACTATTTTTCTCTCTCAAATGAGAAGGTACCACTAGCTTAGTATGACCATTTCCACTTGGAAGCCCCAGGAAAATGACGAAGTGATCCTTTGGTAACAAACATCACAAATTGCTGAATATTTAGTTACGAATGTCATCCCAATACTCTAATGACTGGACATGTCCGCTATATATGCATATAAATTTCCTCTTTCACCACGATTTCTCCAATATCTCACCCCCGCGCCCTCCCCCAAGGCCTGCGTGCTGTGAGGTACCACTGAAATGGTATTGTAAAGAAATGTTCTTTTATCATGCTACAGACTGAAAAGAGGACAAGCAATCTCAAGCTCAAACCCAGGGTAATTTGTCTATCCAGATCCTTTTCCCAGCATGTCAGATATGGACTTTATTTTGGTTAGGAAAATTGTCTGCAAAAACCAATATCAATTAGTTATTTTTCTGTTCCTTAATTGATCAGACACCATTGCTTCTATTCAAATGAGATTTCTGTATAAAACAGCTTTTCTATAAAGTTGAGAAACAAAGTCTAACTTGAAAGTACTGGTACAATGGGGGACTGGGCCAGTTAAAGTTGGTTTTGATTTCTAAGTATGTTAGAAAAGTTTCTTTACTGAATAGATGGCCAACCATATGTAATTCTGCATTTTGGCAGGTGTTAGACTAGATGACCCTTGCTGTCCCTTCTAACCCTATGGTTCTATGATTCTGCGATTCCATGGCTCTCCCAATCTGTAAAGCTCTCTGGTTCGTGATTTGGATTAACAATGGATTATTTGCAATGGGCATCACTGGAGAGGAAAAATAGTTTATTTCTAGTTCTATTCCAAATCCAGAGTAGTCTTCACTAAAAGATGTATATACATTTCTGGAAGGTGTGACTTTTTATTAATGCCTGGTAACATAGCGATATTTTCACTGCCACAATTTTCTTGTTCAATAGTTTGGCTGTGTCAGAGTCCCCCAATCCACAACTGCTTTGAGCTAACTGTTTTGACAATATCATAGAATATTTCAAACAGGTAATCCATCCTGTTTAATGGCTTTCCTATACAAAGCACTGGTGCTCACTCTTTCCCCCACCATCCCACACACACTCCATATAAATTCTAACATCCTCTGCATTTCCGCTAGAGTTTTTTCTAGAAGGATTACAAAAAGATTTTTAAACAAGAAAAGAAATCCTGTGTTCATTCTGACTGTGGCTATTCTTCCCAAATAAGAAATTGCATACTTCCCACAGCACTCCAGATCTTTTCATTTGTAGTACTAGTGATTTGCTATTTAAATCATAGAGCTCTTCTAGCTTGAGAATTGAATTCCCAGGTATCTTACAGAATTTGTTACCCATCTGTACCTAAATATTTTTGGAAGGAATGACATCTCAGTCTGGTAAATTTACAGCTAGCATTTAAAGTAAATTATGCCAAATCTGAAATCCAGATGCTTTCCTACAGTAATAGATTTCTTTAGAAACTAATTTTAGGGAAATATTTGGTTCAGAGAAAAACTGTATTATGTCATCTGTTCATAAAGCTATTTTTGCTGTGTCCCTGCAAGTTCTATTCCAGTGATAAATTCACTGTTCCTTATCCTCTGTGCAAAATCTCCATGGCCAGTGCAAAAAAAGGGAGACGATGGAGATCCCTGCCAAGTTCCTCTGTGTAATTCAAACAGGGGAGATTTAACCTCACTAGCTCACACAGATACTTTTGGGCTGGTGTAAAGAGTAGTTATCCATTTAAGGATCTGAGGGCCAGCATCTATATGGGACAGGCCTTGACACAAAGTTTGACTCTATTCTATCAAAAGCTCTCTCTGCATCAAGTGATAACAAAAGAAGCGGATCTCTTTTTGATCTGGCATTATAGATGATTCCAAGCACTATCAGAATATTGTCTCACATGTCTATCTTTAGTGAATCCAGTTTAATCTGGATTCGTACAAACTGAGAGCATAGACTGCAATCGGCTAGCTACTATTTTTGCTAAAATCTTTGTCATGATTCAGCAATGATATGCGCCTATATGAGCTGCATAAGGTAAGGCCTTTTCCAACTTTAGGGATAACAACAGTGGCTTCTTTCATAGGTTATGGAAGCCCGCCCCAATGGAATAATATTGAAGGTACCTCTCAAGGGACATACTAATACTTCTTTAAATACTTATAAAATCCAGCTGGAAAGCTGTCAGGTCCTGGAATTTTTAACACTTTTCCTACTTGCTAACCTCTAAGATTTCTTCTGTTATTTCTTTATCAATTTTGTTTGTCTTTGGCAACTTTGCTACTTCCAGATATTTCTGAATAACTTCAGGAGCTTGGAGTATCTGAGGCATAGAGGTTTTCATAATAAACAACCAAAGTAGCACATATATCATTAGAGTGTGTAACTGTCTTCTGTAGATTGTTTTTAATTGGTGGAATAATACATTGCTCTTGAATCCCTTTAAGCGTTTGAGCCAATAGTTTATCACTTATTTCCTTTTTCATAACAAAATCTGCTTTGTATACAAGGGCCTTCAGTTAATTGTTGATACAATCTTTGAACCTGTGTATTTATGAAACTATTTTATCATCACCTATTCTAGTTTTATTTTTTCTTGAGCTCTTTTTAAATTGAAATGTTCTTCTTTTCAACTGGCTCCTAAATATTACTTAACCTGCCTCCTAGCGAAGACCTCTTTATATTATAGTGCATTTTTAATAATAATGATACAGTCAAACACCCAACATTTTCATTCTATTACTTTTAATTTAATAAAACATAAGAATGGCCATACTGGGTCAGACTAAAGGTCCATCAAGCCTGGTATCCTGTCCTCTGACAGTGGACAATGGCAGGGGCCCCAAAGGGAATGAACAGATAGGTTATCATCAAGTGATCTATGCCCTGTTATCCACATCTATTCTGTAGTGGGGGGGCCAAAACTGGAAGCAATGCTCTAGATGTAGCCTCACCAATGCCGAATAGAGGGGAATAATTACTTCCCTCAATTTGCTGGCAGTGCTCCTATTAATGCAGCCCAATATACCATTAGCCTTCTTGGCAACAAGGGCACACTGTTGATTCATATCCAGCTTCTGGTCCACTGTAATCCCCAGCTCTTTTTCTGCAGAACTGCTGCTTAGCCAGTCGGTCGGTCCCCAGCCTGTAGCAGTGCATGGGATTCTTCCATCCTAGGTGCAGGACTCTGCACTTGTCCTTATTGAACCTCATCAGATTTCTTTTGGCCTAATCCAATTTGTCTAGGTCACTCTGGGCCCTATCTTTACCCTCTAGCATCTCTCTCTCTCTCTCCGCAGCTTAGTGTCATCCACGAACTTGCTGATGTTCCCATCATCCATCCCATCATCCAGATCATTAATGAAGATGTTGAACAAAAAACCTCTGGGGCACTCTGCTTGATACCGGCTGCCAATTAGAAATCGAGCTGTTGATCACTACCTGTTGAGCCCGACAATATAGCCAACTTTTTAACTTGCTGGCAAGAATACTGTGGAGGACCGCATCAAAAGATTTGCTGAAGTCAAGGTATATCACGCCCATCACTTTCCCCATATCCACAGAGCCAGTTATCTCATCATAGAAGGCAATCAGGTTGATCAGGCATGACTTGCCCTTGGTGAATCCACGTTGACTGTTCCTGATCACCTTCTTCTCCTCCAAATGCTTCAAAATGTATTCCTTGAGGACCTGCTCCATGATTTTTACAGGGACTGAGGTGAGGCTGACCTGTCTGTAGTTCCCCGAATTCTCCTTCTTCCCCTTTTTAAAGGTATCTCATAACTGTCCAGGGCTAGAAATAGGAATCTCATCCCATTCATTGCAAAGGGAAGATTCCCAGTCTTGGTTGGACCCAACTCAATTTTAGCCCTACAGGGTCCCAAAATACAGGACCCTGAAGTCACAACTTTGGGGTTTAATTTTTTCCAACAGCTTTTTCTAAGAGCTTTTATAGCTCCCTCTAAACCCTCTATAAGTGGACTCGTAGTAAGCAAGAATAAAAATATAAAAGTAATCCCAATAAACTAAATTTTTTTACCACAATTTCTGTAGATTATGGAAACTCTGTGGGATAAAGGGTTTATCAACATTCATTGTGAATGACACACACACACACACACACACACACACACACACACACACACACACATATACTAACCCAGCCTAGTTCAGCTGGACTCATTCATACAATCAAAATTGGTTTTCCAGAGATGTGAGAACTGCCATACAGTACCAGATCAATGGTACATCTAGTCTAGTCCAGTACCCCCTCTCACCCTGTGTATGAGAGATACTTTAGGGCAGTGATACACTGTGGCTCTAGAATTTCATGACACTTTCAGGCACCACATATTTTTCAAGTCCGAGGATTTGATGGGAGCTGTTCACTGTAGATAGAGCAAGGAGAGAAAACAGCTTGATGCCACAAGTGTTCCCCATGATGTACAAATGGGCCAGAGCTGCCAGGATCTCTCTTCTTAACCATCAGATCAGTAGAAAAGAGAGAAGGACAAAAAGTAATGAGGGATTCATGTTTTGAGCATCTAACAAGACTATTGCATCACATACAGCAAGATGGAAAAAAAATAAATCAGAATTGGCTGACTTTTACACTGAATAAATCACTACCTCCCTGTTCTGTTAACAGTTTAAACTACAGATAAAAATTAGATCCATTAATTTAATTTCAGTAGAACACTCAGACAACCTCAAGTGAATGAACAGCTTTGGTGAAAACTTTACAAATGAACACCAATTCACACCGCTGAGCAATAAACAGATTTAAACACCTCCAGCCATGTCAATACTTAGAACAAAATTACTAGATGCATCAGTTACCCATTGTTTAGTTATTGAAATATACTGCAGTGAATCTATTCTCTGGCTATCATCCCAATGCAGATTAAACGATTCTTCTGTACTGTATATACTAAACCGGAACAGTCATATAGCACGCTACAGAAATGATTTAGTGGTTACTGTGGAAGAGTAATTAAAAGTCAGCTCAGTTCACAGTTGCAGTTAGAAAAGACAAATAAGAAGCTAGATTATATCAGTAGAGGAACAGAATCACAAGAGATTACATACTGTTAGTGCAGCACACTTCAGACACCCATCTGGAATATAGTATAAAGTATTGGTCATTATACCAGTGCCTTAGAGGAGGCCAATGAAGATTATTGAGACCAGATATTTAAGTTATGAGGACAAGTTAAAATGCAGTCCTACACTGTAGAATGACTTGTGTAAGAAGGTACCATTTTACATAAAGATTTGCTTCCTGTGCATACTCAGCAATATTTACTTATTTCAGTGACAAAAATAAGTTTTACAATTTTTACTTCTGTTACCTTAAGACACCAACTACAGTTATGGGAGAGGAAGATGGATTCTATTCCTCCTTGTGTATTGAATAAGATTGCTTATTAATCTCCAATCAGTTACACCTATGTAAAGCCATTGAATGTAATGGCTTTGCATGGGTATAACTGAAGGCTTAATTTGGCCTTGAGAGCCTTTAAATATGTGTGATGCAGAAAGATAAACTGCTACTCCCAGTGCCCACACTAAGCTTGAAGGACTGGCAACAAGAAATCATCTTTATTAAGAGAACACACTGGAGGTAGATCCTTGCTAAACCAGGGGTGCTGGAACAACTTGTACAGTGAGGAGTGCTGAGAGCCACTGAACCAAACTGTAAACCCTGTATATGACAGAAACCACTTCAAGCCAGGGAGGTGCGGCAGCATCCCCAGCACCACTAGTTCCAGCATTTATGTGCTCAGACCATGCTGATTTATACCAGCTGAGGATCTGATCCTAAACAGCATTCATGGAGACACCGGTGTCATTCAGGGTCACTATTCAAAGCAGAACCGCACTTTAAGGGAGATAGGCTTTTTCTCATTAGAAATGAGGACAAATAAGGGGACATTAACAGGTGTTTTCAAAAATTACAAAAAGCGCTGAAAAATCTATTGACAAATACTAGTAAGGGGTTCAAAGCTGAACAGAAGTTAGGACATGGACTAAACAGGGAATGCAGGGGATACTACTTCAAACAACTGGTAATGAACACAAAATAAGTTAAATGAAAAAGTCTCAAAGCAAAGAGACTAGGCTGAAAATCTAGGAAAATGGACAAGAAACAAGAGGCCAGGCATTAGGTCAGATCTCCTTTTCATACTACCTCACTTCTTATATGCTCCAGGACGGGGGTAGTTATATATATTCTCTCAACTGAAGTTTACTGTTGAATACTAGCTTTTGTTACTGTTCCTATTCTCTTCTCACCCTTAATCCCTACTTGCACTAAAAATAGTCTTCTTTTACAAGCATTTTAATTTACAACCCATTTTAATTTTCAAGATCCTGAGATCCAAGCAGTTGGCAGTATTCTATGCAAAATATTTTGTTCAAATGATATTTTGACATGAACTATACATTTTATTTTCAGACACCATGTGTTACAATTTTAATATTTGCATTTAAATAATATTTGAGGGCTAATGCAAGACAAATAAAGCCGAGTCAAAGATTGGATGTATATGTTCATCCTTATAGAAACCATGCTTACCTACAATACTTTTTTCTGGAGCTGGAGGCACAATGTAACCAATGTGCAGGTATTTTGTTGCTAATTTGCTGTGCAAACCAAGAAAGTCACTGAATCTTCTTTTAACAGAGAATTCATTTTTGTGAAACATAGAAAGGGATGTCTAAAAAAAAAAATCCACAGAAAAGTTGTATTTTAATTTTCAGTTATTTTTTCCATCTACTCAGGTGTACTGTAGTTGATATTCTGTATATTTATATTCAAGGTGAAAAGTAGTTGCAGACAATAGTTACCTTTGTTGTTACTCTGTATGCCATGTAAGCATTCATGCCATCCCCTGTAAGAAGATACACAGTTAAAAGAAAGGTACTTAATCCAAGGGCAAGTCTTCTGAATCACATATATGCTGGAATTATAAATAAATGCAAAATTATGCTAAAACCAAAGTTTTTTTTTTCAAATAGCAAGTAGACAATTTAATGCTGAAAGAATGCCATCTTTCTCTGCGTCTGAGATACCAACTCACCAACTTTCTCTGGGTCTGAGACATTGATTTCTATATCAAATACGTCTCCATTTGCTTCCTCTTCAATCTACAGAGAAGAATGTATGGCATTAACAGTATACTAGTGAGTTAACTTTCAAAGGATAATTAAGGTAGCTCCCCAACTAAATCTATGGATACAAGAAAAAACAGTAAATTTGTGTGGAACCTAAAAAAGCATAACTGAGGCTAGGTCCACACTACCCGCCTGATTTGGCGGGTAGAGATCGATCTTCTGGGATCGATTTATCGTGTCTCATCTGGACGCGATAAATCGATCCCAGAAGCGCTCCCCCGTCGACTGCGGAACTCCTGCTCGCCGAGAGGAGGAAGCGCGGTCGACGGAGGAGCTTGCCTGCGCCGCGTGGACCCGCAGTAAGTAAACTTAATTCGATCTAGGAAACATCGACTTCAGCTACGCTATTCTCGTAGCTGAAGTTGCGTTTCCTAGATCGATCCCCCTCCCCAGTGTGGACCAAGCCTGAGATCCCTTCCATCCCATTTTAGTGGAAAATGTGAAGACACTAGTATTTACCATAGTAAAGGTTGAAAAATGCTTTCCCCAAAAGTTTCATTTTGAGCCCTCCGACAAAGGCTTTTAGTCGGGAAACCTTATCCACCTGAAATGTTACAGATCTCATTTTATTCCAAAGGAGATTTTTTCTAGAGGAAGTTTGAAGCAAATTGGACATATGTTTAGAAGAAATGGGGTTAAAAACAAAACTCAGATGTTTTCATTTAAAACATTTTCCTAAATTTCTGGATCATAAAGAGAAAACTATCTAGAATTAGTCTAGAAATATCAAATTAGTTTTTTCTAGCTATTACAGATGCCTTTAATTGAGGAGGGGGGGGAGATTGAATGGGGAGGAAAATTAAATTCCATTTTATTGTACGTAAGGGGAACTGAAATATTTTAGACACCGCTCAAGTCCTGACCACTCATGTGCACTTCCTAAACTCCATGTGGCATGATGCAGACTTTGTCAGGCCTTCCATTAAATCCTTTATGAAATCCACACATTGTCATAGGAGAAGTGGCAACAATAGGGAAGCCAGTTTGGAGTGGGGGAACAAGAATCACAGCAAAGCAGAGAGATCTGTCTAGCAAGAAGCAGTTCAAAGGAGACAAGAAAACAGTCTAGGAAAGAAGAGATTCATGCTGTACAGCTCACAAACGAATTTTGTAGAGATGCTTGTCAAATGAATACAGTATACTCCCAATTATAGAATCATAGAACTGGAAAGGACCTCGAGAGGTCATCTAGTCCAGTCCCCTGCACACAAGGCAGGACTAATTATCTAGGCCATTCCTGATAGTTGTTTGTCTAACCTGCTCTTAAAAGTCTCCAATGATGGAGATTCCACAACCTCCTTAGGCAATTTATTCCTGTGCTTAACCACCCTGAAAGTTAGGAAGTCTTCCCTAATGTTCAACTTAAACATCCCTTGCTTCAATTTTAGCCCATTGCTTCTTGTCCTATACTCAGAGTTTAAGAAGAACAATTTTTTTCCCTCCTCCATGTAACAACCTTTTACATACTTGAAAACTGTTATGCCACCTCTCGGCCTTCTCTTTTCCAGACTAAACAAACCCAATCTTTTCAATCTTCCCTCATAGGTCATGTTTTCTAGACCTTTAATCATTTTTGTTGCTCTTCTCTGGACTCTCTCCAATTTGTCCACATCCTTCCTGAAATGTGGCACCCAGAACTGGACACAATAGTCCAGTGGAGGCCTAATTAGAGCAGAGTAGAGCATAAGAATTACTTCTCATGTTTTGCTTACAACATCCCTGCTAATACATCCCAGAATGATGTTCACTTTTTTTGCAACAGCATTACCTGTTGACTCATATTTAGCTTGTGGTCCACTATGACCCCCAGATCCCTTTCCGCAGTACTCCTTCCTAGGCAGTCGTTTCCCATTTTGTATGTGTGTAACTGACTGTTCCTTCCTAAATGGAGTACTTTGCATTTTTCCTTATTGAATTTCATTACTTCAGACCATTTCTCCAGTTTGTCCAAATAATTTTGAATTTTAATCCTATCCTCCAAAGCACTTGCAACCCCTCCCAGCTTGGTATCATCCGCAAACTTTATAAGTGTACTCTCTGCGCCATTATCTAAATCATTGAAGAAGATATTGAACTGATCCCCATGGAACCCCACTCGTTATGCCCTTCCAGCAGGACGGTGAACCACTGATTACTACTCTCTGAGAATGGTTTTCCAACCAGTTTTGCATCCACTTTATAGTAGCTCCATCTTGGTTTCATTTCCCTAGTTTATGAGGAGGTCATGTGGGACAGTATCAAAAGCTTTACTAAAATCAAGATATACCATGTCTACCGCTTCCCCCATCCAGGAGGCTTGTTACCATGTCAGGTTGGTTTGACACAATTTGTTTTTGACAAATCCATGCTGACTGTTACATATCACCTTATTATCTTCTAGATGTTTGTAAACTGATTGCTTAATTATTTGCTCCATTATCTTTCCGGGTACAGAAGTTAAGCTGACTAGTCTGTAATTCTCTGGGTTGTCCTTATTTCCCTTTTTATAGATAGGCACTATATTTGCCCTTTTCCAGTCTTCTGGAATCTCTCCCATCTTTCATGACTTCTCAAAGATAATCGCCAATGGCTCGGATATCTCCTCAGTCAGTTCCTTGAGTATTCTAGAATGCATTTCATCGGGCCCTGGTGACTTGAAGACATCTAACTTGTCCAAGTAATTTTTAACTTGTTCTTTCCCTATTTTAGCCTCTTCTGATCCTATTTCATCTTCACTGGCATTCACTATGTTACACATCCAATCGCCACCAACCTTCTTTGTTTCAGTTTTCACCAAGAAGTCATTAAGCACCTTTGCCATTTCCACATTTTCTGTTATTATTTCACTCCCCTCCCCCATTGAGTAACGGGATACCCTGTCCTTGGTCTTCCCTTTGCTTCTAATGTCTTTAGCTAGTTTGATCTCGTTTCGTGCCCTGGCCTTTCTAATTTTGTCCCTACATACTTGTGTTATTTGTTTACATTCATCTTTTGTAATTTGACCTAGTTTCCACTTTTTGTAGGACTCTTGATTTTTAGATCATTGAAGATCTCCTGGTTAAGCCAGGGTGGTCTCTTGCCATACTTCCTATCTTTCCTACGCAGTGGGATAGTTTCCTCTTGTGCCCTTAATAATGTCTCTTTAAAAAACTGCCAACTGTCTTCTATAGTTTTTCCCCTTAGACTTGCTTCCTATGGGATCTTACCTACCAACTTTCTGAGTTTGCTAAAGTCTGCCTTCTTGAAATCCACTGTCTTTATTTTGCTGTTCTCCCTTCTACCATTCCTTAGAATCATGAACTCTATCATTTCATGACCACTTTCACCCAAGCTGCTTTCCACTTTCAAATTCTCAACCAGTTCCTCCCTATTTGTCAAAATCAAATCTAGAACAGCCTCTCCCTTGGTAGGTGTCTCCACCTTCTGAAATAAAAAACAGAATAGCATAGGGAACATGGATTTTAACTAGATAATCAGGAGTTCAGATAACAGAGGGCAGGAGCCATTCAGAAGTGGGCAGCTCCCCATGCAGTCATGAGCTTGGCTGTCTCCTTACCGCAGTCCTGGCCAGGAGTCTCTGCTCTACCCCACCAGAACTACAGCCTCCCCTGTGTACCTTGCGCCTGCAGGGATTGGGTGTCACCAGCCCTGCAGCAGCACAGGGGGCTCTGCAGGTCTGCTGTCATGGCCCTGCTCACTTGTTCCCATGACAGTGGGACTGCACAGGGCTCCCTTTGCTGCTGTAAGAACCATTTAGCAACAGGTTGGCCCCCTCTGTATCCGGGGGCTCATCCTCCTCGCAGTCCTGGCTGAGGGTCTCTGCTCTGTTACCTGAAGCACCACATTATCTGAATCCTTTCCTTGTCCCTCAGCATGAGATACATGCCCTTTGCAGCCTGTATCTTGTGTTGGGGACAAGTAAAGGATTCAGATAATGCAGAGTGTCAAAAAATACAGTTCTGGATAAATGTATTTTTGAAACACTGGGGGGTTGGAACTATTAACCCGAAGGAAGAATCTATTACTTCAAGAAATATGAATCTTCTTGGAAAACCCAAAACATGTTTAAGTCTGGGAATTTTAAATTAATGTTTTGCTTTAAGGACACAAACATTGGAAATTACCAGGGTGGATTTGATTTAAATCAAATTGATTTAAATCACTAGTCAGGAAGACTTGATTTAATCATGGATTTCTACATAAAAGTGCATTCTTGTTGGTTGTTATAACCTTAATACATATTCTTCACAGGTAGAGGAACTTTATTAAAATATTCCCAAACTGGGTCTCTTTTAAGGCCTGCTGCCATTATAGGTTTTCCATTCTAGTGAGAGAATGGTATGGTAGCTCTCAAATCAATGAAAGCTACACTCAGAAAGACCTCAAGACTTCTGGAATATGCTGCTCAAACAGTTTCACTTTTGTTTCTACTGCCTGTCCCCCCCTTCTCACATTTATCTTCCGACTTCTTCTCCTTGTCCAGATCTATTCCGCCCCCAACAATCTTCTATTCATTGAACTTTTTGAAACTTTGCACTTTTAGAGAGAGGTAAGGGATTGACTCTGTGTACACACATCCACAGTTTGAGAACTGCAAAACTAAGCATCTCTGATGGTATCTTCTAGACTGAGCACTGAGTCCCACTGGGCAGATAGAAAGATTAACCTAAATAATCTATACAGAAGCCCCTGGAACTCCAGAAGATTGGGTCCCTAATCCATGAACTATTGGAACTCATTTACAAAACTTTTCTTAAACTTTACATGAATATATTGTCTCATACTATAGAATTAGAATTTATAATCCCTATTCCATGATGAGATATCTTTGAGCTATAATGTATCTTTATTAAAACTATCTTCAGATTGCTTTTTGAGGAAAAAACCTATTTATCAAAAAATCCAATTTAAATTAAAAAAAAAAATCAGATTTTTTTGATTTAAAAATAAATAAAAAATCATTGATTTTTATCCACCCTGGAAATTACTGACATGTAGAGTTAAAATAATGTGAACAATCTCTGTTCCAAGATAAAGTGTTTCCCTTTTTAGTCAATCTTTAATAACTTAAACATAACTGTCAACCACCACCAGAAGCAGAATACATTTCTCTTTATCACACAGTAGTTACATACTCCCTAGCCTTCTTTATAACCATATATACAGCACAAAAAGAAAGTACTTTTACCAATTCCATTTGGACAAGCAACATATTGAATTCCATTATTTCTCATTATTCACATGTGCAAGCAGTTAAACAGATGTCAGAAAAAACTAGGTAAGCTACATATACATACCTATAATGCAGATAATTAAATTTGGTACTTATATTGCAAGTGCAAAGGTTAGTGTGGTGATGAAGTATCTCACTTAGTACTGGGACATTTACATATGAAGCCAATTATAAAACCAATGCTTTGTATTCACATTTGATATTCCATCTGCCAAATACTCTCATGCGCTGAGTGCCTGCAACTCCCATTGCTATGAATGGGCGCTGATTTGCTCAGCACCAGATTTTTGCTCTTGAACAAAGTAATATTGATGGCCTCCTACGATTAGATCCTTAAGGTGGTCCAGCAGTTTATTCAGTTTGTCCATCACTGGTGATCTTATTGCACCACCAAAATTCTTATCATCCAGGTGATCGTCAGCCATGTAGCAAGATTTCTTGATACATATGCCACTTGTGATTTTTAAAGCAGTGCCTAAAGTTAGATCTACAACATGCCAGTGGGAGTTCAGGTACTCAGCATCTCTTCAGTATTTGCCCACGACTATTTCAAGTAATGTTTTTATTTTGCAACTTTTATATTATCAGTGTATTAGATGTTCATATGGGAGCAAGGAAAATAATTGTTATGGACTATAGATTGAATCTTGATCTCAATATACAGGGAGTTGTGAACAGAATCCCCTAAATGAATATTCATAAGATCTTTTCTAAGAAGGACATCTTGCAGAAAGTAAACACGCAATAGATATTTGCATAAATTTCACACACACCCCCATGGCAATGAATGTTCTTGTGATTCAGAGTCTACATAGTTAATACCTTCAGTTGCAATTTTTCATGCTGTTTTAAAAATGAAGTACCATAACTTAAATCTGTACATATCATAGCAATAGTATTTGCAACAAAGTGTTAAAATACTAAATTATTCAGTTACCTCTTCCCTGGATCTATCAAAAATCACAGGGGCTGTTATACTTTTTGATTCCATTCTGGGAGTTACTAGTGTAGTGGGCGTTACAGGAGTGATTGCAGGAGTAGGATCTGGAGACAGTATTGGTTCCCTTTCTGGACTATCCAGAGAAACCTCTTCTGTAGCTTCTAGGTAAAGATTTTATGAATTAGTACAAAATATTACACAAGATGCCCATAACATACATGCATGATATAAAATATTTCACTAGCACACTACCTACAAGTTTATTGTCATTCATAGGAATTGATTGTACATCTTATTGTATATCTCTTCATTCTTCAAATTGAGAATTATTGCAAACATTGCACTAATAGTTTAATGGATAATGCTTATATGGGTTTCCATGGTACTGTTAATTATAGTTTACATTACAGCCTTCCTCCAATTTCAGGGGGTTTTGTTGTAAAATTTATCTGTAAAAATTTACTTTGAAGTGAACTTTGTCAGCAAGGGCTCTGTTCAGAACAGAGCAATTAAATCAAGGGATATTTGGGGGCACAAGGAAGAACTGACTTTGGCAAGAATAAAAACAGTGCATGAAGTGGTTAGTTTTAGAATTCACTACTCAAACCCAATAAGTATTTAGATATTGTAGCAGATGATGAAGCCTTCAGTGGAAGTCTTTAGGGGGGTATTTTGGGGGGGGGGGGGGGGGAGACAGGGGTGTGTTTCTAAGATTGTGAGAGTGGCAATAGTCATTCTCTTAAATTAGGAGAGCCTGCATGCAGGGTAGTGAAGATTTCCTACAAATTTTTAAGCATACAGATCTGCTGCACATATGCAGTATTTATATAAATTCATGAAGTTCAATATGGTCAACAATCCAGAAGCTAAATTGTCCATTAAGCAGGCTTTGAATTGATAACTGAGCATCTTCATAGCCTATACAGATAATTCCTGTTTTAAGAATGAGGACAACCAATGAAGCTAAAGAATGCACAAAATTTAAAACCGATAAAGGTAATTTAACACAATGCATAAACCACCTCAGACACTCACTACTGTAAGATATCCAGGCAAGAGATTAGCAGAATTCAAAAAGATTAGGCATTTATATGAATAGTAGAAATATTCATACTTACACTAAATAGGATTAAAATGCATAATATATACAAACCATTACATTTCAAGACATAATCCAAGTACTCTCTGGAGTCCAGAGAAATGACTCCCAATACCTAGATACTACATATTTGTCAATTATAAGTTTATCGTTCCTTCCCCCAGTACCTGAATTTGGCCACAGTCTATATAAATCTTTATCTCAACCAGAACAGAGCTTTGTATATTCTGAAATAACTCAATGATATTTTTACTCAAATTATTACTTAACAAGATATGCACTTTAAAAACTTATTTCTGTTTACCAATAGCCTTTTGATAGTAGATAATGTTTAGTAAACATTTAGCAGCTTTCATATAATTTTATTTTGATTACTTTAGAATTACATAAACAAGAAAATGGTTATAATCTGGACTTCCCATGGCAAATTGTATTCATATACCAATGTAACTTGGACATGACTGACTTTGGAGTTACTCTGAATTATACCAACCTAATGGAAAAGAATTCAGTTCACTAAGTCTATTGATTTTTACAAATAGCACATCAGCTCAAGGCTGCAGCAACAGTTTATATTTTCAGCTGGAAACTGAACTGCCTTGCTTTTGTGAGGTTAACAATCTTTAAAGTTATACATGTTGCATACATAACTGCACACCTTTTTTAATGTAATTAAGGACCCAGATTCTAAGTATATTTAGTATTTATATTTAGTATATAAACTCATATGCCTTCATTGTACTATTCAAGATGCAATTGTTTAATTTTTTCATAGCAAAATGGAAACATTATATTCGCTGTTTCTATAGCTCCTGTTACTTCATGCATAACTCTTGATTCATGTAGCAAAATGATCAATTCTTCCATATGTAATTTCTTGCCATTCTCTCATCCCCATTTTACCTCCAGGGACCATGAAGATCATGAAGATATTTGGGCATATTTTGACACTTAGAAGCACTCAAGTCAGGACGCCCTCTAACAGGAGGAAAGATTCTCACTGGCAAACATTACTTACATACTGAACCACAGTATCTGAGGAACTGCTTAAATTATGGGAGCCACATAAGTACAATGCACAGTTTGCGCTAAACATCAGCCAGTGCTCTGTTAGTGTGGGCATTTCCAGACTCTAGAGTTCCACAATGATTTTCAAAAAGTGAATTGAAAAGTAAAAGTTTATGCCCTTTACTGCTATTTTGTAATGTATAGTGACCGCCGAGAAGGTTTTTTTTCCCCCTCAAAAAAGCTTTTTTTGAAAAAAAAAAGTCAGAAATATAAGATTCATCTATTTGGCTAGCTGTCTTTGAAGTACCCAAATGGTGATGTCAAAACTGCAGCCCTGCATGCCCTCAGATATGTAGAGAGGATACTGATTCTCACAGTAACCAACTAAAGAAATGTAGTCTGAGAATAAGCACTGTCCCACCTCACTTGGGGAAAGCTGTAGCTTAGGTTTTAGATAAGTGTGGGAAATCACCATTAAAGTCCTCCTAAGAGCTTACTAAGGATATCCAGCAAAAAGAAAGTGGCAACCCGTTACTACTGTATGTATTTAGACTGCTTTATTTCTCAAAGGGCAGTAAAAGGCACCGCTTTTTGCTTTGCAGTTCACTTCTAATACTTATGGGTATGTCTATGCTGCAATTAGAAACCCATGGCTGGCCCATGCCAGCTGACTGAGGCTTGCGGCGCTCAGATTGTGGGGCTGTTTAACTGTGTGGCGTACACATCTGGGTTCGGGCTGGAGCCCAGGCTCTAGGATCCTGTAAGGTAGGAGGATTCCAGAGTTCAGGCTGTAGCCTAACCTAAACATCTACACTGCAATTGAACAGCCCCGCCGCCCAAGCCCCGCGAGCCTGAGTCAACTGGCATGGGCCAGCTGCAGGTGTCTAGTTGCAGTGTAGACATACCCTTATTGTCCAACTACATCCAATCGGTTACATCTGTCCCACGTAATCAGGGTATAAGTGGCTAGGCTCTCTCACAGAGACCTAGCAGAAGTTTCCATTTTGCTTTTGGCAGTTAGTGCCCTTTCACACAGATAAATGAGAAAAGTTAAGATTGACCGTTCACCCATTTTTCAGTGCAAAATGTACAGTTTTATCATTTTCTATTCCACTGGAGCTCTTCCTCTGGTGCCATTATCTACTGCACATTTGTCAGTATTTGGCGCTGTAATTTATCTGTCAATTTGCTAACCTCATGTGCTCAGCCACCATACTTTCAAACGTCAAGAAGCCTTGGTACAAAACCATGAAATAAAGGTAGTCCAGTTAAGACTATACAACTGGAATGAAAAAAATCTATAAAACAGATGAGAAACTAACACAAGCAGAACCACCAATTCTGACTACAATAGAGAACCTAACCATACCACACGTTATCAGTTGGACAGAACCAGTTTCAGAACAAATGGTTGGTTGTGTCTCCACACTAGCTATACTGAATTAGTTTAAGAACCTCAGATCCATACTGGTTAGCTATTTTCTCCCCATCAAGTGTAATACAAAGTGCCGGTTATCACCTATAAAGTGATACATGTGCCGAGATCCACATACTTGAGAAATTGTCATAGCAATTCAGATGAACGTGGACACTTCTGCTTTTGATTCCTAGATGCTTCTGCTTTCAGTTCTTAAGAAATCACTTAAATGACATTTTTGTTTGATATATTTCCACTGGAAAAATTCTTTTCTTGTCTGTTTCACCAGAAAATGTGTTTGGCAAACTTCAGACCCGAACGTAAAGCATATGTTAAGCCAGTCTTTGGGCCATGTTATTTTAGTCACATAAGGAGGAAATTCACCAATTTAATCCAAATTTAAATGTTTAAAATATTTTACAAATCTAAGACCACTAGAAGTGTTTACACTGATTTTTAAAACCTCAGAGAAATGATTTTTATACAAAAGTAACTTTCTTCTGTTGTGTATGCTCGTGAACGTGAAAGTAAAATGGACTAGTATTGTTCTAGCTAAGAAAAATGCTTAACAGCATAAGCAGCAAAATGCAAATTATTTTAATTTTGCTTTAATATAATCTAAGGTGCTTTAGTCACAAGTTTTCTAATGTATGTGTCAGACTACAGCAAGTACATTATACAGTATACATTTTTATTGTGCAAAAGATTTTATATTTTAATGTTAAGAGTATTGAGCCAAATAAAGCTACTATACATGATATTTTTGAAGTACAGTGAAACTCATCTTAAGTAGTCACTCAATACCTACAAAAATGATCTTCTAATAAACACTGAACAGATTTGCACTCCATAGTCAGGAAAATCTTAAAACAGGAGGGGATCATTTCCACAAGCACCCAAGTTACCAGTCCCATTTTCCAAAAAGACTCATGCACTAGGTGTATTGAAAGCCAGTGAGACTTGGGCTCCTAGTGCATAAGTCTCTTTTCAAAATGGGACTTGGTAGCTTTTGAAAAATGTTACCTGAGGTACACAAAAGTGTTAGTAACGGTAACCAGCTGAATAAAGCATTGGCATCAGTGTGACACTGCGTCTAAAGAAGGGTTGAAAAAAATTACACTTGCTAAACAGACTGCATCTAAAATACTATTGGGCTTACAGTATTTGAAATCTAACTAGGATGAAGACATAGATTTGCTAGTTTTCTCTGAGATAGCCACTTCTACACCAGGACCAAGAACAGAAACATACACAAAGATAAACATTCAGAAATGTTTACAGTTATAGTTCTTTTTAAAACAGAAATAAGAGCACTATTATCCTTATTACAGAAATGATGGCCTAGAAACAGCCCCAGTAAGATTGTTTCAAATGGGATACATAATTCTCATGAAGGTATTTGTAAGCCTCTGATAAATGAGACTTCCTTCTGGCTTCATAAGGTAACTGCCTCTTTCGTTAAAATGACTCTTTGTTCGTTCAAGAAGAAACACAGAATATTCAACTTCTAAAAATCATACTGAGACACTGCTGATGTAATTTAATAGCCATGCCACCTTGTGATCAGGCACTTTATGTTAACAAAAGCAAGAATGAGACACTATCAACCTGAGTTATATGCTGCTCATCAGAGCTTCCCCTGTGGCTCTTGCAGTCCACAAACAACTGATAATCCACTTATTCTACCTGGATCTCAGAAATAAAGTGCCAATAACAGAACTCCACAAGGTGGATAATAATCAACTTTTTTTTAAATAAAGAAAACTGATTTTTAAATTAAATTAAATACAGGTGTTCTTTAAAAAAAAAAAGCTATTTGAAGTTGTCAACCTGTTAAAATAATTAAAATTAATACTAAGCAGTGGGTGTTAGCTGCCAAGTTTCACCAGTTCAGTGGTTTGAGTCACTGGCGAAGCACCTGGAGCCAAAGTTTGCTGAAGTGCTAAGCCAGCTTTTGACAGTAATAGCCTCTTCTGCAGGTGCAGAGAGAATATATTTTCCATTTCATTTTCTTCAACTAGTCCAGCTCAATGAGTAGTTCATTTAAAGTTAAGAAACCAGTTGGGTGTTGAGAAAGCAAGAAAGCTTTTTTCCCTCCTCCACCCTAATAAAAAAAACTTGGTGTAAGAGGATGAGATTTAATCATTGTAAAATCTTGAAAGATGCGATAACAAAGAAGCAATCGATTCAATTCACTACCTACAGATACTTCCTTTGTTTAATAAATAAGTTTTAAATTCAAAACATGTTTTGATAAACTTTTTTCCTTATTTATCTGGCACATTTAAAGTAGTTTTATTTAATGAAAAAAATTTAAATACTGGTTTTGTGCATTTTAAACTGAATTTTCATCCCAATAGAGCTTGACACAAATAGCAAGTAAAAAGTTAATCTAGCAAATAAGAACTCCATCATTCACAATTTTCTACCACAACAAAAATGTAAAAACTAAGAGTCTGAACAAATGTAAAGTAAGCTATTTAACTGCTACATGTGTGTATAGCTGTTTGGTGCGAAAGTTACATTTAGTTGTAAATCAACATGTTTTAATGGTCACCAACCAATGAGAATCATTTTTTAGGAAAATAATTGAAAAGTATAAATGCAAAACATAATTAAAATTGCCAGTTTCAATCAAGGTTTTCTGCTTACTGATTAGAGTCAGTGATTTAAATTGCTAACAGGATCCAATCACCAACCCCCCTATCGATATGCAGTAAAGCAGAACCAGTATCCAAGAGAGGGAAGAGAGAATACCACCCTGCTTTCAGCATCAGGAAGTGAGAAATCCAGTGGTTATAAGCCAAAGATCTGAATATATATTGACGCTCTATCAGCACTAATGAAAGCGCATTGTGACAAGCTTCATCAAATCGTGCATCATCTGTGGATTGTTAGGACAGGATTCCTAATGCTATCTATTACAGGCAGCCCAATGCTACATTTCTGCAGCTGTAGTTAAGTGGCTACATGTCTGCTACTCCAGCTAACAGTAGGAGATGCAATTAAATTTGCTTTTAGGCCATCATTTTTGAGTCTGGGTACTTAAGGTTTAGCTCCTAAATCCAGGTTTAAGCACTCAATTTTCCAGCCTATAAAAAAGTTTCAAGGAGGGACAAGGGCTCTTTATGCAAAGCTGAGAACCACAATACAAAAAGGCAAAGAAACAAGCAATAAGGCAATAACTATTTTATCTACATCCAATTTACTTCTGCACATTGCTATACTCCATCTAACATACACATCATGACATCCAGAGCATCACATTCCACACCAAAACATACAGTCTAAGCTAGGACTATGAGAAAAATGGCACTGAACTGGAGGAACAGGTTAGTGTATTTATTTGAAGATATACAGCCTGCTGTACGTATAGATGGCCAAACAAACATGTAATTGTCTTGATTGGTGAATGCATGCTGATCACTGAACAATGTATATTTGATTTGATTTTTGGAGGATAGACAATGGATATTTGATAAGATAAATGAAGAAGTTTATCATAGTTTGTAGACGTATTATAATTACAGTTAGGTATGCACTTCTGGTGCAGAGTATGATGCTGTGGAGCATGTGACATATTGTGAATGATGGATGGAGAACATCTTGTTCTAATCCCATGTGACAACTCCTATTTCACTTGAAACCTGGGAATTCTGCTTTATTATATGAAATATATCTCCACATTATAAACCTTGTGAAAATATTCTAATTTCAGTATAGGTACTAAGGAAAGATGTCCATGGTAGCTATCACAAGTTTCACTACAGTATCAAGTTGCCATTTCCATTTGATAGTTACTTGAGACAATTTTACTCGTTCAACAGTAGATGATTAATTAGGTGATAAATGTGAGAAGAAAGTGTTTCCAATCCATTGTTAGTTTTATATGTAGACAACATTGTGTGTTATATACAAACTAAATCTATGATTCGACCATTAAAACAATTAATTAGGAAGGCTTAGTTTGAGCCTGAGTACAATATTTAGCAACATAAAATTTTACATTAAAATGTCATCAGGTAATCGCAATGCACTAAATAGGACATAGTCCAAACAATTTTACTAAATTGAGATTTTTACTGCAGTTATCAATAATCTTAAAAAAGCAGTATCCCCAGAAGTTCACACAGCATTTCAATAATGTAGATGAGTAACCAAAACAACGACTGACAACAGTGGCCAAAGAGAATCCAAATATCAAAAGGGTAGACCAACTGTTAAAAAAGCAGTTTTTCTTCAAAAAGCATTTGCTGAGGGGGAGTGGGAGAGAATCATTGTTTTAGAGAGCCACAAGTCCATTTTATCATATTAAGGCATATGCATTTTAAATTCAAGTTCAGCATTACAAGTTTAACTACTTCATCTTTCCTCACAACTATACATCTAACAAAACTGCAGCTTTTTGAAAGAAAAAGGAATAAAGTTTCCATTACAGTATACCCCAAACTCAAAAGTGTAAGTGTCCATGTGAACTATATACTTTAAGAGAAAAGAAGAGAAAATTACCAGCAAAAAGGTCTTCCCTGTCATCATCTAGTATGATTTCTGCAGGCTTTGGACCATTAGAGTTTGTGCTGATGTCTTCTGTAGGAAGACTGGCTGGTTCCGGAGACGATGGGCTTGACTGTTAAAAGGAACAAACAGTTAGGAGGCAAAGAACTGGTACCGTAATCTGTTATAATCATTTTCATGCATTGCCACGATAGTCTTTTAACACAAGCAGAGAAAGCAACAACAACATGGAAAGGAAACCGTGTCAGCTATTTCCATTTCCTACTCCTAGTAGGATAACAATGACCAAAGGAAATGAATTAGTCACCAACTCTTTTCACTTATTCTTTATGGACATTAAAAAATTCACCTTTTCCTCCTCTTGATATGCATTTCCATAAGTTAATAAATATGTTTTATATAGTTAATAAGATAGAACCAAGAGCTGCTGTAGACAAATCCAGAATAAGTTTATCTACCATCTTCAACATTGAAATGTTTGAGTCTGGTTTCTCAGATTGCTGTACTCAGTTCCTTTTTGTAAATTTATGTTCAAAACAAACTGCAATTTAACCTTTCTGAACAGTTGTCCAAGATGTACAAATATGTCCACAAATCAGTTTTTACAAAGAGTAAAGGAATGAGTTAATTCCATTAGGATTTTTATTCTGCAAACTGTAAAGTGTCAAATCATGTTGTCATGGAAGTTAAGCTGGCCTCACAGAGACAAGGAGCATTTTAAATCTGCTGTTATCTATCTAACTTATTTTTCATTCTGAGGCATATACTAAAGTATCAAACAATTCACAGGATTAGTGTTCAGAGGTTAGCTGGGACAAACAAGAAAGAAATCCAGCTTCAGTGCTGTAACCAGGCCCCAGTTCTTCCACAGCTACAAAATTCACCTTTTGCTGAAGAACCGTACTCTAGTATCCAAGTCTTCATTTTAAAAAGCCTGAGTAACAGACTTTAAGCATGGTGTAAATTGTCCCCACTCATTTCAAAGGGTGTTTAGGCAATCATGCAGCTTCATAGCTGACATCACTCTGAATCATCACAATTCTGATTTGCTTGACATTTCAGCTAAAATAACATTCAAACAAGAAATGCTATATTGATTGTAACTAATATGCATGCTCATTTAACTCAATAAAATGTGTCCATCATTTCAAATTAAACTAAAGCTACCTCGATTTTTTAGTTTGCTGCATGGGAATCCCATGGTATTTATGAGGGTTTTTTTTAGTAGAAGTTAGGACAAACATCCTATAGAGCATACAGTGCCTTTACTACAAAAACAGTCATATACTGAATCTATGGCACAACGCTCTTTGATAAAGAAAAAATAATTTGATGTCAGGATGTGACTCAAAATAGCAAGACTTTATGCCAGTAGCCAAGACTTTGGACAATAAAGCCTTGCAGCAAAGCAGACAGTCTTGCCCATCTTAAGTGATATTAAGGATTCTCAACCGGGTCTCATGCCTCCAATACAAGTCATGCAGGAAATTCCCTAGCTCTTATCTTTGGCTTGGAGGGCCAAATCTTAAACTGGTTCAGGAACACTGCTCTGTTGGGTATATTTCAACTTTGAGTTCCTCAAAGACACCCTTCTCCGCCCCATCTACCAAAACACATTCTAGCCAGTTCCTTACAAGCATGAAGCAAGAGCTCCCCTAACCTCCAAGAATATAGGAAAAACCCACATAGGTTGGGGTTCTGTGCTGAGTCTCCAGTCAGCACAGCACAGAAGATGGGGCTTAGGGTGGGAGTAGAAATCCTCCCAATTATACAGTTCTCAAGGGGCCAGGGCAAACTCTGGAATAATGTAGAGCAGTGGCTCTCAACCTCTCCAGGCTAATGTACCCCTTTCAGGAGACTGATTTGTCTTGCGTACTCCCCAGTTTCACCTCACTTAAAAACTTCTTGCTTACAAAATCAGACATAAAAATACAGAAGTGTCACAGCACACTATTACTGAAAAATTGCTTACTTTCTCATTTTTACCATATAATTATAAAATAAAGAGATTGGAATATAAATACTTTGCTTAAATTTCAGTGTATAGTATATACAGCAGTATAAACAAGTCACTGTCTGTATGAAATTTTAGTTTGTACTGACTTCACTACTGCTTTTTATGTAGCCTGTTGTAAAACTAGGTAAATATCTAGATGAGTTGATGTGCCCCCTGGAAGACCTCTGCGTACCCCCCAGGGGTACATGTACTCCTGGTTGAGAATCAGAGATGTAGAGAAGCACTACTTTCATCGCAGTGAAGAAACAGAGTACCCACAGCATAACAGATTTTAACCCCCCAAATCAGAGATGGTTAGGTAGGTTGGTGACAATCCTGCAAGGTATATTCAGAGAAACAGAATAAACAAATAGTTGTCTCTTCTTAAAGGACACTAATCAGAATTTTTACTCTTGGAGAGTAAGCAACTCAGAGGAATGTAACAAAGGGGAAAAAATTAACTTTAAAACAGGCATAAAATGAAGGCAAATGCCAAAGAACCAGAAACAGTTAATTGATTTGACAACTTAAGGGACAGACTGAAGTAAGTGGGGAGAAAGTTTGAACTCCCATTACTCAAAAGCAAACTCAGATCTGTAAAAATCAGAGCAAGATTGCTGTAGACCAGGGGCGGGCAAACTTTTTGGCCTGAGAGCCGTATCGGGTTTCAGAAACTGTATGGAGGGCCAAAAAGGCCCCGCTTGAGAACATCCAGCCTATCCCTTGGGCCATGCCGCTTCCCACAGTCCCCATTGGCCTAGAACAGTGAACCGCAGCCAGTGGGAGCTGCGATCAGCCAAACCTGCAGACACTCCAGGTAAACAAACCGGCCCGGCCCGCCAGCGGATTTCCCTGACATAGAAAATGCTCCAGTTTGGATTCACTGGGCTTATGTATGATTAGCACTTCAGGCAACTTATATTTAGATTCCTAATTTTAGGCACCCAAACTTTGGGCTTCAGTATCTAATGTATAACATTCCCATTTTCCATGGATAATGTGGCGGGTGCAATTTTAATGGGCATCTGTAACAGGGAAGTGACCAATAAGCATATTAATAGTCCTGTCACGATGCCAGCCTCTTTTCACATCTACATGCCCAATCTTACAAAGCCTCTGTTCTCTTGTTTTAATGTGGGATGGTCCTGATAAGGGATCTCAACCTGGATTAGGTCCTTGGGCAATGCACTTCACTTCACTTTCTGGTTTCATTTGGCATCTGTGTCCTATGCAACACTGTTGCTAGTGGGCTATATCATTGTAGCTATTCACATCTTTCACTGGCTAGCCTGCAACTGAAGGAACATACATAGGGTACATTCAGCGTGAGGGAGACAATACTGTCTCCCTTCATGATGGCTTGCTTTTTGGTGTTTGGAGGAAATTGTGGCATAGATGAGAGCAACGTGACTAACTCAAGCCATATAAGACTGTGATGAGGTGTGCTCTGAGGGCTACATCTTAAATCTATCTAAATTTAAGCAGGCTATTAGATGAAATACCAGCATGTTAAACAGTGCCTTTAAATGGCAGTGCGATTCATCCAGCGTGCTAGATTGAGCCACACTGGCTACCTTATGGTTTCTGGGTGGAATTTTAGGTAGTAATGGTTTTGACCTATTCTTAAACTGCTTGCGACTTGCCTAAATGGGAGACCATGTCTCCCCTGGCACGGCTGCCACTCTTGCAATCAGAAGAGACCCTGAGCTTGATTTCTCCTTCATAAAAAGTAGGGGAGCTGATGGCAGAACTTCCTCTGTAAGGGCCCCTTCCTGTGTAAGTGCTCAGCTTCCCAAGGTTTAAATAGCTCTGATTTGTAACTCTTCTTGTTTAAAGGAGCGTTAGTGAAAGGGTGAGGCTGTTGAAGGCGGGATTTGTCTAGTAGGAAAGTGGAATGGAGGATTTAAAAGTTGTGATCAAATTATGTTTGGTAGGGTCAAAGTACCAAATGCTGCTGCTTTACCCAGGTTTTACTTCATTTTCCATGCTTTTGTTTTTAAATGTATGCCATGGGTTTCCTTTACCAAAATACATGTACATAAACATGATTACTACATGGTTACATGCTATATAGTTACTAAACTCCACTATTTGTATTCAGTCTCTACAGCTGAGGTGGGCAAACTACAGCCCACGGGACCATTCTCCCCGGCCCCTGAGCTCCTGGCCTGGGTGGCTAGCCCCCGGCCCCTCCCCTGCTGTTCCCCCACAGCCTCAGCTCACTGCGCCACCAGCGCAATGCTCTGGGTGGCGGGGCTGCGAGCTCCTGGGGCAGCGCAGCTGCAGAGCCCGGCCTGACCTGGTGCTCTGTGCTGTGCAGTGCGTGGCTGGCTCCAAGCAGGCAGCGCGGCTGCCTGTCCTGGTGCAGCCGCGGTGCCAGCCACCAGTGCTCCAGGCAGCACAGTAAGGGGGAAGGGAGCAGGTAAGGGAGGTTGGATAGAGGGCAGGGGAGTTCGGGGGGTGGTCAGGGGCCGGGGGTGTGGATGGGGCAGGAGTCCGGGGGGAGGCGGGAAGGAGTCAGTAATGAGAGGAGAGGTTGGATGGGGCGGCGGGGGGCAATCAGGGGTGGGTGTTCCGGGGGCAGTCAAGGGACAGGGAGAAGGGGTGGTTGGATGGGGCGGGGGGGCAGTCAGGAAGGAGAGGGGGTGGTGGAGGGGGTGGGGGGGGCAGTCAGGGGCAAGGGGCAGGGGGGGTGGGAGGGGGGGTGGGGGCTGGGCCATGCCTGCCTTTTTGGGATGTTCTCAAGCAAGCCTACAGCCATCTCAGAAGGACAAAAACCAGTAGAACTAAATGAATTACCCACATAGCTTGTGCTGGAGGCATAAGACGCAGGCGTGATAATCCTGCATAGATGGTATCTAGAAAGAAAACTGAGATACTGGCCACTTGTGGTTAAATATCCCATGGCTCTATTCACAAAGCGAGTAGGGATTAACAATTTGATTACATTCAGTTTACAAAAAAATCCCTCATTTCAGTTGTATAATGAATTCCTTTTCTGGTCTATAAACTGCTGGACAGTGTATTAGACACTGTTAGACAGATGACGTGTTCATCACAGATGATGATGCATTTAAGATGGGTTAAGGATCTATATATTTCCTGTAGTATCTAAC